CTTATCACAAAGTCAAGAAAACCCGAGATTTACAGAAAATCGAAATTTTTCAATCGTTCAAATAATTTATTCAGATGTCTTGCACCAAGTTAATTAATTTGTTTACAAAATGTTCATCTGTAATAATAAACATTTCATACATTTTTCATTGTTTATGTTCCATTCATCAAACCCATAGTTGCATAACTTCATCAGTTCTTTGATTGAAATTGACAAAAAAAATACTTTTCAATTAATTCATGAAGTACGTCATGACGTATCAGAATGAATTGTCATTCAACCCATTCAGAATGTCATCCGCATGTAGTTCAATTACACTAATTAAATCTTATCATGTTTACAAAAACAATACTTAAGTTTGCACAATATTGACAATTGAGCATGTGATACTTTGTATTTCATTTAATTAAAAAGCATCTGACTTAATGAGAATTCGCGTGATACGACGGGGGCTCGTCCTGTCCCTCCACTTTTCGTTATCACGGCATTCTGATAAGAACTTTCCAAAAAGAGAGAGATTCAGCTGAGCGATGCTCATTGAATAAACAAATACAATTTCCAGTTGGGTTTTGGCCATCATTCGTTGAAGTAAGTATCCGATGAAGACGTAACAACGCTCATACGTAATAGTATCAATGATAAGCCGCTCTCTATACCCCCGGTTATCTCCTTCGAGTGATTGATCCAAAACCATGCCCTTGTTTACTACGAGAACTATAAATATAGTGCCTGTAGGAATGATTAAATACACGAACCGATTTTAAAATAAATAAACAAGGTCGTGAGCTTCTTTTTCTGTAAAAAAAAAAAAAAAAAAAGAAGAAGAATTCTCACCTGTTTCTACTAACGTTCTCTCCGATTTTCATTTTAAAGATGTTTATCCAAAATAGCAAGGATTAAAAAAAATTGATTTTTTTTCAACTGAGAGATGAAGTTATTCCCTTCGTCTTGATAAAAATTTCAATGCACCAATCGAAATTTATTATTTAGAAATGGAGTAGACAAAATACACGAAACACATGCGCTAACATGCGCTTATGTGGGATAGAATCTTTCAAATATTTCCTCTTTTTGCGCGGGTACCCCAAATTTTTCTCTGGCCATTCGATTCAGTATAGTTTTGCACGTTACCTTCTATTTTTATTTCTATTGTTAGTCTTCTAGTAGGTGAATTATAAATTGCAACATAAATCCCATAAGAGCCCGCGAGACTATTGCGATTAATTTTTTTTCAACATCAAAGAAGTTAGTTTCATATGTTGTGCTATCAGCAAAAAAATTATAGAATTTTCCTTGAACATGAAAAAATAAGATTCGCTGAAAATGGTTAAACATCCTTAAATGCTCATAACTTTAAAAAATTGCAATTTTCAAATTAATTTATTAATCTTTTTCTGAAAGTAAACTTTCTCAGTTTTGTTCTGATTTTTAAAATGTTTTCTAATGGTTCAATATTGAAATTGACATTCAGACCTGCAAAGTTTAAATAATAAAATCATTGTAAAATGTCCGGAAACTTAGGATGAAATGGAACTCAAATGAAATCTCTGATGTTCGACTACAAAAGTAGAAAAGCATTTCACTGAAGAAAAAATAGCCAAAGTACTTATAGGATATCCTTAATCTCCAATTCGAAAAAAACAATAGTGCACTCGATAGTGCATATCCATTAACTGTCACATTCTCAATACAATCACATTCAACTGACCTTAAAACACCTAATGCAAGTGGTCTTTACGCGTTTACGACACGATAAACATCCCCGAGATGCACCAGCTGTTGACTACTCCTCCTAATTCTCCTCATGTCCGCGAAATTTTCATTCCCACAACCCGAAAATTCCCAAATGCATGGCGCAGTGTGCCATCGTATATCAAAGGAGAGCAAAGCCTCTCCAAGATTAGCCAACGTCTTCATTCCTTGTTACAGAAAAAAATCGAACTGAAATTCCACCGCCTACTCTCTCCCTCTCTCTTGTCGCTTCCTAATTTCTATTTTCTTTTTTCCAAGACTTTTTTTTTAGATCCACTTCAACCCCAAAGGGGTAACGACACTAAATCCCTGGTTTTCTAAATTATCGTGAGCCTCTTGGCCTTGTGCGACTACCGCCTGTGACCCGATAACTCAACTGAAGTGTTGTTCCCACTTGAAAAGTTGTGGAGACACTCGAAAAAGGCACGCGTGAGGAACAGAAAAAAAAGGAGTATTTCCTCCAGAGTTGGAGTTTTTTTTTCAAGGGAAACTTATTCTCAACGCAATTTTTTATAATTCCCATTAGGTGGAGAGTATTTTCGTGTTAATCTTCCTATTATTCTCACATCGCTCAACAAATTTTTGGAATAAAAATTAATTTAAGGCCCGCGTATATTAGCTTTCGAACGTGATTTTGGTTATTTTTTTTATTTTGAGAAGCTGAAATGTTCTTCAATTGCCATTCAGTTTTAAATAGCCTTGGAGTCTTCAAAAATTATGATTGTATAATCGAAAAAACGTTGAAAAAAACTGAACATTTTCAAAGAGTTTTTTACAATGATATTGAAAAATAAACCTAATAGGGAGGAACTTGCAAATTAATAATTTGATGTATCTAATGGCTGTTAGGTCGTCATTTGTCACTATTTCCTCTCTATCGGGCTTATTTCTTAATCTTTATTGAAAACGCTCTTTGAAAATGTTCAGTTTTTTTCTGCTTTTTTTGATTGTACAATCGTAATTTTTAGGGACACCTGCGTGATATAAAATCCAATGGAAATTGTGATATATTTTACATTATGAAGATGGAAAAACAATCGAGATAACGTTCGATAGATAATCCATCCGGGCCTTAAAGTTTTTTTTTCTAAAAAAAGGTTACGAATTTCATCGAATTGACCACTTCAATCTCGCAATTGATACAGATTTTTTTGCGAATAATGAGGTAATTATTAGGCTTGCAAAAAAATATCAAGACTTTTTTGTTGATGAGGAAATTTCCTACGAAAAGGTGTGTTCTGATCTTTCCTCTCAGCACTTCCTGTTATCGAGATAATTCAATCATTACCGGGTGGAAAGTGAAGCAGAATGGGAGACTTCCCAGAATTTAACCGATTATTTTAAAAATATTTTAAAAGCCAATGGATTTAGACGGAAATGCCAAAGACCTTGAAGTTTTTTAGAAAAGAGTCTTTTGAAGTTTCACCTCTAATAAATTCATACACCTACTATTGGCATTCAGAACGTGCAGTGACTTCATATTTTATGAAGTTCTGTTTTGAAATTTCTCATTCCTCTAATGTTCACAAATGATACATAATGGTAAAAAAAAACAATATTTACTAAGAACAAGAGCAATCATGAAGCTTTCAATTCAATTCACGATTTTTTTCTCCAACTATGATCATTAAATCATTCTCAATTTTCTTTAATTAATGGTAAATGTCTCACTGAATAGCTCCAAAACGTTAGCAGACCAGGGTCATTGGATCGGGTCGGTGAAAAACTCAAAAATACGTGCCTTTTGTGTGCTTTTTTCTGCTGAAAAAATTAAATTTTCTGCTCCAAAATTTTCGCCGAAAAATTGATTTTTGAGTTTGGACCATTCATCTAGCAGACCAATGTCATCGGATTGGCATAATTTTCATAGTAGCGTGAAGTACTAATTGCGTATCTATAAAAGTAATATATATCTATAGAAGAATTTTTCACGACCAAGGACTTCGTGTTGTTTAAATTAAAAATATCCAAGTACTTTGGCAATTTTTTTCTCTGTTGAAACGCGTTTCTACTTTTGTAGTAGAACATCAGAGATTTGATTTGAGCCCCATTTGACCCCAAGTTTCCGGAAATTTTACAATGATTTCATTATTTAAACTTCGGGGGTCTGATTTTGAATTTGTTAATTTGTGCATTGTCAATTATTTAATAGTTTCCCTCGTATAGAGGTTCGGAAAGCCGAAAGATAGCATATAACGTCCTGCTTTCCATGTCATATGTACCTTAAAAACATCTAAGGTTTGACCGAGTAAAATAGCCCGGGGATAATACAGGATTGATAAAATAAGTTAAAAATTGCAATTTTTGAAGATTACGAGCATTTTTTATGAATAATTTATAAGCAAACGATTTCCCGCCATAAAAATCATGTATTCAGAATCGTACCAAATTTATTCATACTCTCAATTTTACTAGAAATCGATTCATGCCCAAAAAAATTAGGTTTCCGAAAGTTAAAATAATTTCAATTATTTATTTATAAACAAGAATATTAAAAAAATGATAATTCTCTGCAAAATGTAATTTGGATGGCGCTGAATATTCATGATTTTTTTCAAATTTTTCTCACGTAATTTAATTGAAAAATTTGATAATTAAAAATAGTTGAATCTATGGCAAACAAAATGAAAAACCGAAAATATAAAAACGAAAATGAGTGTGGTTTGTACGAAATTGCAAAAGATACTTGAATATCCTTAAAGTCGAAAAAGTTGGAAAACTGGAAAAATTCAATGCATAGAAATAAAGAACAGTCATTCCCCCTTGGGAGGAGCACGTGAGACTAGTTAATCGTCACTCGATAAAATTTTTATCGCACTGCGTATTAATATGACATTTCCTCTCACATTACACATCGCGCTGTGACGTTCCATCAAATCCTTGCATACTCCTTCGTCTTTATCTTCTTCACATACTCTAGATTAAACAAAAATGATGTATAGGTGGGAGTAATGCGAGAAGTAACGCGCGAATGAGCGTCTTATCGTCCTTTTAATTGTTTCCGACTGGGTGATAAGGAGAACAGAGAGGGAAAGTCGAGACTGCAAAAGTATCGGGGTGATTTTTTGCTGAAGGAGAGGATGGACCTCCCCCGATGATGAAACTTTAGACGACCACTGACAGCTGTTTATTATCGAAGGAAGTTTTAATCTCAATAATTTCAAAATTTTCCTCTCGAAAACGCAGCATTTCTGTTGTATGAGATTATTATCATTCATTCCAAATGATATCTTTATGATTCAGCTTACCTTGGTGAAGTGATGAATTTGGCGACAGTTGGAAGGGTTCTTGTTTTATTTTTAGAGAATGAGGGGAATCCTGCATACTACTGAGAGCGGAACTCCCTATTCCTTGTTGCATATCCTGAAACAATGGAGATAATTCCATAACCACAGATTGCTAGTGTACAAAACAATTCATGCAATCAATAAAATCAATGAATCGTCACGTGGATCAATTGAATAAGCCTACGCTGATAGAAAGGATTAGTTATTGTTACCAAATGAATTTGGTTGTAGGCTAGGGACTATGCGGTTTCAGCAAAAGTTCATTCGACAGTAGTCAACAAATGCATATTTATTCGGTTATATTCAACTCTACCATTCGCTAATAGTTAACCAATCCCGTGCGGAATAAATGAATCATTCAGTGTAAAATGCTCGTATCATAGGCCAGTCAAATTATGACTTCGAAATCAAGGACGATAGAAGAATAAAACCATAGAGTATCATGCGGGAAAATTATACGAAACACATGCTAAGTTTTTTGGATTTTAGCGCACCAGAAAATTGTTTAAAAAAATTAAAAATCGCAAAATTAAGTGTCTGCACGACCTTTTTCACTTTACGTTGGCGAAACCGTAATTGATGGGATAAAAATCCATAGGAAATTATTTGTAGAGCATTAAATTTCTTACAAAAAAGTCAGCGGTGGCATATTCCTACACTGATAGACTAATTCATTCATTTCAAACGAGATTCGGTAACTATTAACGAATGGTAGAGTTGAATATGACCAAATAAATATTCGTTAATAGTTCAAATGAAAGATATCCAAGTACTTGGGCTATTGTTTTCTCCAGTGAAACATTTTTCTACTTTTGTAGTTGAACATCAGAGATTTGATTTGAGCCCCATTTGACCCCAAGTTTCCGAACATTTTATAATAATTTTATTATTTAAACTTTGGAGGTTTGATTTTGAATTTGTTAATAGGACATGATTTGCGTCCCTCATGAACATGATTTGTAGAGCATTAAATTTCTTACAAAAAAAGTCAGCGGTGCAATATTCCTACACCGATAGACTAATTCATTCATTTCAAACGAGATTCGGTAACTATTAACGAATAGTAGAATTGAATATGACTAAATAAATATTCGTTAATAGTTATCGAATGGTTCACTTGAAAGGTGAAAGTCGAGTCACCAAACAAGGCTCCCCAAATATGCATTTGTTAACTATTAACGAATGAACATTTGGTGAGACCGAATAGACCCTAGACTTCAACCAAGTCCGTTTATTAACAATAACTAATCCTTTCTATCAGTGTCAATTTCAACCGTCAATTCAATCCCGAACATCAATCAAAAATATTTGCAGCTCCAAAACAGTCATCCACAAACAAATCTTCGTATAAATTAACAGAACGGAAAGTGAAAAGTGGGTGAAGTATCTCCAAATTTTGGCTGCAGTTGTCGCGCAATGTTTGAAGTGCCGTCGCGCCTAGCTTACAAACACCAGTCCCTTGTTGTGACATCGCATTATACCCAGCCAAACTTACGAGTGAAGCTGGGTTGAGTTGAGTTCGAGCCCCTCTGAAACGTTAATTTGCAATTCTGAACCGAAACCGTCACCGAAAAATTCCTCCGCTCTCGCGATTCGAAATGACGCATTCCATTTTTCCCTTCGACCATAAAGTCTTGAACGCATTTGAAAAAAAAATCTTTCAGCGATTGTTAAATGAAAACTTTGAATACAGGCGCAGCTACTGATGACTTTCTCGTGTTTTTTTTTTTTGTTCACAAATGCTAAGTCGACAAAGATCTATAGCTGGTGAGTCGTTGCACTACCGGAGAAGTGCATCAACCCGTCGACACTGAGAAACGATAGCAGGAGAAGCTTTTAATGCACACGAGCATGGGTAACAGCTAACGAGCCCACAGTGAGTGGTCAAACGATCTGTGAAACTGTATTAAATTAAACTGTCGTTTAGGTAAAATGTAAAGGTCGATTAATCAGTCTATTCGGCAGATTTTCACACAGACAAATTGATTGCGTGGAAGGCATTTGGTGAGTTTTCAAAACTTGGAGAAAATTTGATGTTGGAAAGTCATAATTCAATCATTTTTGCGATGGCATACTGAGAAAAGGGCAAATAAGTTGTGCTTGGGTCAACAAAATTGCTACACTGTTGGAAATTTTTCGAAAATTCAGCAATAGTTGCACTGAAAATGGTGGAAATCGTGTTCCTTCAAACCCTTTTATCAAGTCACAACCGGAGAGAAAACTACTATCAGATTGAAAAGTATCAAAAGTATTGCATCGAATAACAACCCAAAGCATTCAACTTTATCCTTCGTATAGTTATTTGGTATGTATCACATATATTTCTGAGGAAAAAAATCGATACTGTTTAACCCGACAGTAATAACTTTAATTTCTGATAGAGATTTCAATTAAGGAGATTAAATTCTCGCCTACTGTTAATCAACAGCGGTAATTAATTAATTACCATTTACTAAATGGTGTATTCTCTGTTTAATAACATCCAAATGCCCTCATTAAATCACACCCAAGTGATTTTTCCCTGGACTTGCCATCACGCGGCACTCAAAATCGCTTTTATTCTTCAAAATTATTCCACTACATCCCTTTCCCAATGTTTCCCCGATTTTTTAAAACTATAATTGCAATGTCTTTAATGTCGATTCACTTCTCAAGCTCGTAACGCAATACCGACTCGAATGATTCGACCTTGGGATTCTCATCGATCGATATAGTGTCAAGTGATAACCCATATCCCATTCATTCACGTCTTATGTGAATCGCAATTTAAATTATTCCGTGTCAGTAACGTTGAGCGATATTTGCGCAATAGCGGTTGCATTAGTCATTTTTAAATTGATCAGAAATAGGGAAGTAATGAGATTTACTCACCCCTGTTACTGCCAGCGAGTGGGACACCATTCTCCCTCGATTGGGAGTTAACAGACTCATAAAGACAACTGCAGCTGCATTTACACTGATTTCTAGTCTATCTAAATCCAAATTGCAATAGAAGGCTGTCTTCCCAGTACACTACAAATTTCTTCACTCAGTTTTTAACGATTAAATGATTAAATAAATATATTATCTAATATATTATAATATTATTTGATGATTTCACTGTTTATAAATTAATTTATCTTCAGTGATGCATAGAATAGAAATTATTTAAATGTCACATCTTTAATGATTAAGATGGATGAATCCAGACTTTCTGCTACCACCACCTGCCACATAAATCAACAATTTTCGATTAGAGAATGACGAACATCGAAGAACAGTAATTTGATTATTAAAAATGTATTTAAAGTTTTCGTTAGTTAGAAAATATTCCAGGTGTTGAGGCTTTATCTTATAAAGTGTCAAATTCAGTAGTGAAGCGGTAAAACGGTTTAAGGGTGCCAAGTGAATTTGAAAAAAGATTCAAAAAAAAATTTTTTTTTCCCTCCATCATTGGAAAAATATGTTTTCATCCATCCAACGAGATTTCAAACCCGCAACCGGAACTAGACATCGAGAAAATAAATGCGCAAAACCCTCTATTTCGCGTGACGAAGCTCGAGAAAGCATGGGATCAAATGGGTACTGCGGGTTGAAATATCTCTCTTATTCACCCCGGTACCCCATTGTTTTTTGTCGCCATCACATTGAACACATCATTCCCCATATCTTCAAATTTTTTCAAATTTTTCTTGAGTTCCTAGGGGGTTGAAACGTTCAATTTAATCAAAACTCCATAAGAGGCCGTGTATAAGACTGATTTTGTTTATTTAATTTCTCGATATCCACAAGTTCTAAAATTTTTAAATTGTCACCGATGTTCACCATCTGTCTAATACTATTAATTAAAAAAATTATAACTTTGTTGGTGAATGTCAATTTTCAAGGTCTTCGTCAAATTCACTTGGCACCCTTAACCCTAGACTGGTCACCATGCGAGGGAATTGCCGCAACACGTCGTTTTATTCACCTTGCCATCGACTGGTTGACCGGAGAAATTTGAGAAAGATTGAATTCGTCAATTGAAGTATCTGGAAAATTCTAGTATATACGTTAGCGATCAATGTTCAGTTGCGCCCATCACTAGCAAACACTTCCAAAGAAAATTCTAGTATTTTTGTTCAATATTTTATCCTTAATTCTGGGAGGAAAAAAATTATTTCCAATAGGTGAACAATTTTTTCCCGTGTTAAATGAAACTGCCTGTTATGCGACGTTGCTGGGAACTCGCGAAACGCGCCCGGGAAGTGTAGAGTGGATTCGGCAACGCTGGAGCCCAAATAGCACGGCGGCACTCTCCCGCGAAGGTGAATAAAGTCGCATTGTCCCGTCAGATGAACAGACTAGGGTTAAAGAAAGAAGCTGAAACTAACGGAATATTCGCTAGCGGAAGATTCAATTTGGAGACTATTTAAAGGTGGCAGAGTCAAATAATCACATGGAAAAATACTTTGTAAGTGCGAAAGAGTTAAAAACATTTGTACACCCGCCGAAGCAAAATCCCGCCTGAAGCAAATCTTCCGCTGGCGAATATTCCGCTAGTTTCAGCTTCTTGTTTAAAGAAGTATATGCATAACTTAAATTTTGAAAATGAACATCTGAAATAAATTCTAAACGGAAGTTGACATAAATAAAAACATTGTGGTTGAGTTCGTGCTCAATTGGCGGTCCGGTATTATTGATAATAATTAATTTAGAAGTGCCAAAATAACACACAATCTTATAAGAAAAGGAGTATATCGAGTTTAAAGAGAAGATTAAAATGTAGAAAAATGTAGAAAAAAAAACAAAAAAAAATAAAAATTTTATGCCTAATACGAAAATCATCGTCAGTGTTAAACTTTTGTGATAAATAATTTATGTTTCTGGGTACCTCGAATGTACAGGATGCCCTAGTCAAATGAGCAACTATTGTTTCAAAAAATAATTGTAGAGAGAATTTGATGGATTAATGTTTTACTCTCGTTAAAACTAGCGTTCATAGAAGAAATCAATGATGAATAATTTTTTTTCGGAAATTATACATTTATTTTTCCTCACTACACTCAACGACTTTAAGTCGATTTAGACCCCAGCTGAGTTTTTGAGGAAAATCTTCGAATCTAAGGGAGATAACGAAATTTCCGTAATGACCTTTTTTGTAGCCATCAATTCGCTCTACAAAAAAGGTCTTAACAACAATTGTGCCATCTTCCTTAGATTCCAAGATATTCATTGAAAATTAGCCAACAGTCAAAATCGACTTGAACAGTTTTACCTTTTACCACTGAATTTTCTGCGAAAAATGAATCTAATATTATTATTTTATCCCAAAACGGCTTCTTAGAGACATAATTTCGTAAATAGCCACATTTCAACCATGAATATCGACTATTATACCTCCTTTCACTCAATTATTTATTGCTTCTTCTGAAAAATTATTGAAATCGTCTAATTATTTTCGTAAATAAAGAAGACTTAAAGTGCGATTACAGAAGAAAAATTGATGTTTTCTTACAGAGAAGAAACAAATTCCGCAATAAAAAAAATGATGTATAAATAAAAATCAAGAGACATGTCTTCATAGGTCGCGATGACAATGACACACGCTCAATTTTCCTCACTCATTCCCACCCCAACTCCATGATACTATAATAAAACGTAGAAGTTAAAGACCAAGAAGAAATAAATGAAAAGCCAGCGACAGCTGAACACTTATAGTTTCACTGGAGCGTTTAGCGCCACATATACTCGGCTTGTATCTTCATGTCTCTTCAGTGTTTTCCCTCATGGGAGTCATTCGACGCTTCCGCCGGCTACCGATACATGACAACAACCAGACAACCCAAGTAATGTCACACCAATAGCCGGGGATATCCTGTATGCCTGGTGTCAATAAATTATCGATTATAATTCACTAATTTTTACGGCATATCTGACTTGTGACATCACACTAGGAGTTTTGTGGGTCACGTTGACCCGATTTGACGCTCGTAAATTCTTGGGTAAATGCGGTGCTTGGGGACAGCATCGTTTTTCAATGTATTTCTTGACTCGCGGGCTCTCGATCACCGTCGGCTAGGCACGGGGGCACGACTCAGATTATTGTTGAAGAGGAACTACTTCGATTACTTCATTATTAAAAAATTACTTTTTGAAAATATCTGTCAAGTGATAGTTTCACTGACATTCTCAGGAAATTCGTCATTAAAAATTGGCAATTTGATGGAGAACACTCTGAAAACAGCGAATTTTAATTTAATCGTTCAAAATCAAATTTTAATTAAATCAACAAAATTACAATCTTTTGGCTGGGGTGCTCAGAACACCCCACGGATTCTTTACTTAGAAAATTTTAAGTAAACAATGGGGAAATATTCTGCGAGAACTGTTTTAGCAATGACTTCTATTGACGAATCAGTTAATTGTTGAAATATTTCGTGGATTATGAAAGAGTGTTTCAATGTTGGAATTAGGGTTGAGTGGATTATAATTTTTTCGATTTTTTATTATTAAAATTTCATTATTGTTAAAAAATCACTTTTTGAACATTTTTTTTAAGCGACAGTTTCACTGACATTTTCAGTAATTTCGTCATCAATAATGAATAATTTGATGAGAAAATCATGAAAACTGCACATTTTAAATGAATTATTTTCATAAAAATCGATGGAAATCAGCAGAATTACAATCTTTTGACTGGGTTTCTCAAGATACCGCACTGGTTTTTTACTCTGAAAATTTCAAATAAACAATGTGGAAATATTCAGCGACGACTAATTTAGCAACGACTGCTATTGGAGAATCAGTTAATTTGTAAAATTGTTAATGAATTGTTGAAGAGTGTTCAAATGTCGGTATTAGGGTTGAGTGGGTTGGAACTACTTCGATTACTTCATTATTAAAAAATTACTTTTTGAAAATTTCTGTCAAGTGATAGTTTCACTGACATTTTCAGGAATTTCGTCATTAAAAATTGAGAATTTGATGAAAAACATTATGAAAACAGCAAATTTTAATTTAATCATTTGAAATGAAGAAAAATTACAATCTTTTGTCTGGGGTGCTCAGGACACCCTACAGATTGTTTACTTTGAAATATTTAAATGAACAATGTGGAAATATTGAGCGACAACTGATTTAGCAACGACTGCTATTGACGAATCAGTTAATTGTTAAAATATTTCATGGATTACGAAAGAGTGTTTAAATGTCACTTTTTAAACATTTTTGTCAAGCGACAGTTTCATTGACATTTTCAGGAATTTCCTCATCAATAATGAATAATTTGATGAGAAAATCATGAAAACTGCAAATTTTAAATGAATTATTCCACGAGAATGAATGGAAATCAACAAAATTACAATCTTTTGACTGGGATTTTCAAGATACCCCACTGGTTTTTTACTCTGAAAATTTCAAATAAACAATGTGGAAATATTCAGCGACGACAGATTTAGCAACGACTGCTATTGGCGAATCACAGTTCATTTTTAAAATAATTAATGAATTGTTGAAGAGTGTTTAAATGTCGGTATTAGGGTTGAGTGGGTTGGAACTACTTCGATTACTTCATTATTAAAAAATTACTTTTTGACAATTTCTGTCAAGTGATATTTTCACTGACATTTTCAGGAATTTTGTCATCAAAAATTGACAATTTAATGAAAAAAATTACGAAAACAGCAACTGTGAATTTAATCATTTGAAATGAAGAAAAATTACAATCTTTTGGCTGGGGTACTCAGGACACTCTACGGATTCTTTACTTTGAAAATTTTAAGTAAACAATGTAGAAATAGGGGAGGGTAGGGTAAAATGGACACTTTTGACTTTTTTAAAAATATTCATAACTCAGGGACAGATTTATCAATTGAGCTCAGTCCAAGCTCATCACAAAGAGAAATCATTGTTTTTCAATTGAAAAATAAAATTATTCCATTTCATGAACAATTCAACACGTCATGAATATTTTAAAGAAAGTCAAGTGTCCGTTTTACCCTACTCCCCTATTCATCGACGACGGATTCAGCAGCTGCTGTGGACGAATGAATTAATTTGTAAAATATTTCATGGATTGTTGAAAAGTGTTTAAATGTCGACATTAGGGTTGAGTGGGTTGAAATTACTTCGATTCCTTCATTATTAAAAAATCACTTTTTGAACATTTTCATTTGGCGACAGTTTCATTGACATTTTCAAGAATTTCGTCATTAAAAATTGATAATGTGATGAAAAAATTATGAAAACTGCAAATTTTAATTCAAGTATTCCATAAAAATTAACCGAGATCAGCAAAATTACAATCTTTCGACTGGGGTGCTCAGAACACCCCACGGATTCTTTACTTTATCAAGTGATGGATTTTCTGTTTAATTAAGTAATTTATCAAGAATTTTGATTTTTCGATTTTCGGTTTTTATGTAAGATTAATCAGCAATCAATGAAATAATTTTCCTCAGTCATAATTTCTCAATTAATAAATGAAATCACTGTCACAATTAAAACCAAACTTCTTGGTTTTTGTATAACAATTCATCTCCTAGATTGTTGCCTGATTTACAAATAATCAAAGAATGCACGAAATTTCCCCACAAAAAAGTCAAATTATTTCTTGTCCTTCTTCCCGTACACTAAAAGGCAAAAAATTCAATTGATGTATTTTCTGCTCAATCAATCAATTTATCGAGAATTTCGATTTTTCATAGCTTCACTCAATACTCGGGGCTGTGAGATTGACCAGCAATCAACGAAATAATTTTCATCAAACATAATCCCCCAATAAATAATTAAATCAAATCATTCTCACAACTTAACAAATCATCTCCTAGATTGTTTCCCAATTAAAAAACATCAAAGAATGCAAGAAATCGATCTTCAATTTGTCAATTAACTGAGTAGTGAGTGATGGCAGAAGATGTCAATAATCTTTTTGTTAAGTAACAAAATTCCCCAGAAAAGTTTTTCCGAGATTATTTCCTACTGAAACCGCGGATCCTCAAGTTAATTTTGCCATCATTCCCTCACATTTCGAACGAAAAAACAAAAAATTGGTGAGTTTATAAAAAAAATCAATTTTTCACAGGTTCAATTTTTCACTCAACCCTCGGGATGTGTAAGACCGCCCGCAATTCATTAAAACATTTTCCCGAGCCACCATTCCCCACTAACTCAATTAAATAATTCTCACATCAAAAACCAAGTCCCTGATTTCTCATTGCCAATGAAAAAAGTTGAAAAATCGCACACTACACGACGGGTTATCTCCTATCATGTTTTGTAACGAATACCAAGAATTTTTTCGCTGAAGTAAACGCGAGGAAGAAAACAGAAAAAAACCGAAGTAAAAAAATAATAATTGGTAATTTTTCAATTTGATCGGGTCCATTAAATAACACTCACGACTCTCGACGTCTCCGCATTAATTCAGATAATGATGTTTACACAATAATTTGCATGTTATCACTGTCCGCGGTGAGATACGTAAAATCGTAAAATGTTTAGTAAGCTTTTACCCACGATTTCACATTAATTGTGGAAAGATAGAGACAAAGTTTGTAAACTTCATCCACGTTTGTTTAACACTGATTTGTCTCTATCTTCACAACAAATGATTTATTATTTTCCCACAACAAACATTGAGTTGAGATGAGTTGAGGAGTATTACGAAAACGTGAAGATACATATTACTCACTTACACAGTTATTTATTTATTTATTTATTTATTTACTTGTTTTGTTATCACCTGGGAGTCAGAGTTGACTGTGGATTATAGCCCAGGTGAGGTGGATTTTAATTCCTGAAGACACGATTTCGCCAAATTCTTGTCATTAGTCTTTTCGCGGTGCACAACACTGGGGAACACTTGAAGGGCACAACCGACGGATCGATATTGAGGACTTTTGACAACAACGCGCCACGGCAGACCGACGAGCAACGATACTGAGTGGCAAGTGAGCCGCAGCCCGGCTGTAACGCGTCATCAACGACCACCGGGTGGATGTGGTGGAGACGTGTGGAGGCGGGGTCTAACGTGAGATTCGATCGGTTAAACGCCCTCCGTGTTTTTTCAATACGGAGAACGTATTTTTCCTATTATTTCAGATTTATTGATTGATTTACTGATTTTATTGATTTTCTTCGATTTTTGAGGAACGGAAACAGGAAAAAATGATGTTTCTTTCGCTTTTTAGAAGTAAAAAAATCAATTGATCGAGCTGCTTAGATTATTTAGGGGGGGCCGTTGGAATATTAGTGGAGGATGGGGCAAAACGGACACTTTAGACTTTTTTAAAATTATTCATAACTCAGAAACAAATTGATCAATTGAGCTCAGTTTAGGCTCGTCACAAAGGGAAAGAATTATTCTTTGTATTAGAAGAAAAATTATTGAATTTTATCAAAATTTCAACCCCTCATTAGCTTTTTTAAAAAAATCAAATGTCCGTTTTACAGTGCCCGGGGTCTGTAGCTTGCGCGGCTTGCGACGAGGGGGAGGGGGGGTTGCTGAGGTCGTGATGTCAGACTATTTTTTTTTTCATTTTCAAGGTATATCCCTAAAAAACACGTTTTCTGTTCCGGCGGGAGCAAAGTGACATTTCCCTCCCACTTCGCGGGAGGGAAATCTGACTTTGTTCCTACGCCGGAACAGAAAAATCGCGTTCTAACCACGGAAGGTAAAATAAAAGACCCTTGCCCACGTGCTTATCAACCTCGTCTTCGGCTCGGCTGATAATTCTGTACGTGGGCAAGGGTCGTTTATTTTACCTCCCTAGGTTAGAAATAGGTATACTATTTTCTTAAGGGGAAACGGCGCCCCTGCGTTTATATGAACCTTTAGAATTGTGTTTTCTCCTGCAATTATTATTTTTTATCCATTAAACTACTTCATTGACTCAACAATGTGATAATCGAGTCGATAAAGTAATTTCATAGATAGAAATTAACAATTGTAGCAGAAAACACAATTCTAAGATTTGATGTAGACAAAGGGGTTCCGTCTCCCCTTAAGGGGAGACTACTATGAGTTTTGAACGTCGTGGGTTATTGGAGTGAGACTTTTCATACGTTGAAGATCAATTATACAGATCTGAAGTCGAATAATTAGTGCAAAAAAAATTTTTTTATTGTTCGTTTGCACGAAAACGTCTAAAATGGTAAAAACAGTCCAGGGCCTCCAATTTTTGAGCTACAAAAGATTTTTTTTCCAGATTTTCGGAAAAATGTGTGGAACAACAATTACAAGCCATTTTTTTCAATTCGACTCCTACAGAGCTGATTTCGTTTTTTTCATATAAAAAAATTCACTATTTGTGTAAAAAAAAATACAAAAAAAGGAAATTTAGCCATATAAGAGGTGAATTATAAAAAAATAGATCGTAATTGTTATTCCACATATTTTTCCGAAAATTTTGAAAAAAAAATCATTTGTAGCTCAAAAATTGGAGGCCCTGGACTGTTTTTGGCATTTTAAGCGTTTTCGGGCAAACGAACAATAAAAAAAATGTTTTTTGCACTCATCATTCGTTTTCAGATCTATATAATCGATCTTCCACGTATGAAAAGTCTCACTCCAATAACCCACGAATTTAAAACACAGTAAATTCAATGAATTCCATTTCTTCATTTCAACAAATGAATAGATAAGCGCGCGCGAGAGTGCGCGCATAGATCTTGTACATCGAAGACGTCACTCCTGCTGAAAATTTTAGGGTATCTTTGGAACACGATTCGGATTTTTTTAGTGTGGTGCAGTCATAGAATCTAAAATTTTTCCATCTCTTCTCACGATAAATTCGTTATTTTAACAAGTAGTTACGAGATAATTACGTATTATGCTCAAGTTACAGTTGATAATTCACAGCTGATTTTTGTAACAAATTGTCCCTCACCCAAATTACGTAACTGGGACGCTTACACAGCATTTGAAGAAAATGCTTGGAAAATCAGCTAATTGTTCGATAACAATCGCATTTCAATGCAGAGAATTGAGGTCACCAATCGTCCAGGGACTCTTTCGAGGTGGCCAACCGCTGACGCTGCAGATTACGTCACTGGTGAACTCGATTTTATAACATCATTCGTCGGAAGTGGGTCTTTCAATCCATCAGCAACCAAATTCATCTAAACATCAAGAGTTTTCTCTCCATTCACTGAACGATCGTCTTAAACAATAGATTATTCAGTAAAGAATGAATAAAAAATTCATTAAAAAATTATTCATTTGAAATATAAAAAAATGAAGCTTAAAACTGATTCAAAAATTGAGGAAAAAAATCGATTCCATTTTTTTCAATGATTTTTTAACGCTTAAATAACTTTCAGAGGGGAAAATCCATATTGAAATTCAGTGGAATACAGATCTGGTCGCCATGAATGGGCGTTGTCGTATCCTATTCCTCCAATGTGATTGGTGGATAGGATAGCGGAGCGGGAACACATGCGCCAGCCCCACTAGAGTCTCTCAACTCGGGAGAATAATCACAATTGCATTACCTCCAACATAATAAAAAAAAGTCATCAATCCCTAAAAACAATATCGCGACCCTGATCTTATCATTCGAACAAAATTCTCATTTAGTGAAATTTCTGATGAACACAATCGATTTGTTCAATAATCAATATTTATTCGTCGGTGATGTTCGCTGATAATCTCGGATGTATCCTCTGAGGTTTTCCCTCATTTTCGCATAACCCACTTATGACTGCAGTAATCACCTAATCAAGAAATTTATATTTTATTGTTTATTTGGAAAGGAATTCGCCACAAGAAGCTGCACGCAGAGAAATATTTAGTAGCAATACCACTAGTGCTTCAAAATTATCGGATATTTTCCGATAGCTTCGTTGCCTAGGAACGATTATGTCAAATTTTGCAGGTTTAAAATCCCAAGTGCGAAGCACGAGGGATTTTTCTGCAGAATTTGACACACTCGTTCCTAGGCTGGGAAGCTTGAGGAAAATATCCGATTAATTTTGAAGCACGAGTGGTATTGGACGGATTATTTTTCCACTTGGATTTCGGCCAAACAGAGTGCAGTGAACAGCATCCGGATACATTTACACAGCCATACATTTACAATCCAATTTTTTCTTTACCTGTCACACAAAATATTAAACGTGAAATGTGTTGAAAGATGAGAAACATTTGAAAAGCTACTAGTGAATTTCCGTCGGAAATTTTCTAGAAATTTCCGAAATAAAACTGTTTGACAGCCTCAAATACTGCGTTCTGATTGGGTGAAATCTAAGTGAGAAAAATAATCACTTGTAATACTACAAGAGCTTCAAAATTATTGGGTATTTTGTATGCAGGGAACCTTGAGGAAAATGCCCGATTAATTTTGAAGCTCGTGTGGTAGTCGGGGGATTATTTTTCCAATCCAAATGTCGGGCAATATAATTGGACCATGAGACGAAACTCACAATTGAGAAACGAGAATTGTATAATTAACACTCATTTCGAATAAAAATCCTCGGATTACCACAATTGAATTCAATCTGTCAGTTTGTCGAGGGGTTAATTCGACTGCATGATGTTTTGTTTTTTATCACTGAAATTTAAAGAAACTTTGTCATTAAAAATTCAGAATTTCATGGAAAAATTAAAGAGAACTGTAAATTTCAGTTTCATTTTTCTCTCATAATGAATAGAAAACCAGAAAATTCCGGTAAATATATTTTTGAATTTTCGAGACAGTGACACTGAATGCGGTTTAGGGGGAAAAAAACAAAGAAATTTCGGATTTCACTGAAAATTCAATGTAATTTGACACTGAATATTCATATTAGATTGTAAATTCAAACAAATGAAGGAATTCTCATCTTTATGCTGTTTAAAATTTCTGCAATTTTACTAAATTTTCAGTGAACCCTGAAATTTCAGTATTCTATCCGACGAAAATATAAAGCAAAACAAAAAGAAGAAAATGTCACAATAATTCACGGATTATCGCCAGGAACAAAAGATCCGGCACTCCGTCCTATCCATTGTGTACGAATACTTAAATAAATTCAATGTAATTTGGCACTAAATATTCATATTAGATTGTAAATTCAAACAAATTAAGGAATTCTCACCTTTATGCTGTTTAAAATTCTGGAATTTTGCAAAATTTTCAGTGAACCCTGAAATTTCATTATTTTTTCCCCCTAAATCGCACTCAGTGTCACTTTCCTGAAAATGAGTAGTCAACTGTCCATGAAATTTCATTTTTTCTCCAACAGTGTAATATGACTCACCACATCCAGATGACCTCTAACATTTTTCTCATCACCTCCTCTCGTTACATCAAAATAATCGCCCCTTTGAGCCGATATTTCACAAACGACACTCGGCCTAGTTAAGTATTCTATCCGACGAAAATCTAAAGCAAAACAAAAAGAAGAAAATGTCACAATAACTCACGGATTATCGCCAGGAACAAAAGATCCGGCACTCCGTCCTATTCATTGTGTACGAATACCTACTTCGCCCAAATGTAAACACGGTCCCTCCAAATACGGGGAAATCGAAGCGGAGGAAAAAAAGTGGGAAGAGCAGGAGAAAGAAACCTTGGAGGTCCTCATCTATTCTGCCTCACAACTACACAACAAAGGATTAAAACTGTAGCTGATGATAAACAGGATACGTAACGTTTTGAAAATTCCCTTCTACTCCTTTTTATCGAGGTAATAATATTTTTAATCGTCTCGTTGCACGTAGACCCCGATTCGTTTGCTCAATCGTCCACTCACGGAAGGCTATGTTGTTCAACATAACGGTCTATTGTTTGTTCCGGCACAATGGTCAATGTTTTGTAAAGTACGCTTGTTTTTATGTCGATTGTTTCCGATTGTTTCCATCATCGTTTGACATTATTGTTGACGATTTTCGGTCTAATATTACCGGTGAATTTTCAATGGATGTTCATGCGTCTGTCGATTGACGTGTCAAGTTGGGTATAGAATAGAGCCTCTGGGGAACGAGGGGGGGTTGTATTGGGGAAAATGTCTTGGGATTTTTCTTTAAAGGAAATTTGTGATCCATGAAAGAAGTCGTTTTGTCATTTCCGCCATGAAACGTTATGACAAAAAATATTGTTCGTCACGCTGCCAAAAAAAAAATTTCCAGCTCATATTCTCCAGAACTTATATTCGCCAGAAAAGTTTTTTTTTTCACACTGTCCGTCAAGCGCCGTTTACGGACACTGAAGAAATAGTATTTTTCCGGCCTGTTGCGATGGGGTTTTTTACTCGTGTGGCGTTGGCCTCCGAGCCGTAGGCGAGGATGGGGTTTTTTGAGTAAAAAAACCCCATCGCAACAGCCCAAGAACAATATTTTTCTGTAGTGATTTTCAAGTTTTCGAGTTTGGGAAGTATGTAATACCAATTCTCAGACGAGAAATCGTGAGAAGCAGTACAAAAATAGTATATTTCGTTACGAGTGCGGAAAAGAGTTTTTTGGCTCGTGGGAGGTTTATAGCACGAGCCGAAGGCGAACACTTTCCCCACGAGTATCGAACGATATTTTTCATCACAATGTGTGGAAAAGGGACGTTTTAGGCTCACGAAGCGTGCCTAAAAAATTACTTTTTCGCACAGCTTGATGAAAAATTATATTCCCCACTCGGTCGAAAACAACTTTTTTAACTCGTGTGACTGCATTCATCGGCTTCGCCTCGGTCTGCAACCTTTACACTCGTCAGAATTTTTTTTCATCCCACTGTCTGTAAAACGTCGCTTGACGGACACTTTGTGTCCGTTAAACGCCATTTACGGACACTGAAGAAAAAGTATGTTTGGTCATCAGGCTGAGAAAAAACTTTTCTCGTGAATATTGCAGCCCGAGCCGAAGGCTCGACAAGTTTTTACGGCTTTGTGGCGAAAATAGCTCTTTTTAATTGCTTCTCGCCTACGTTTTGTTTGCATTTTTTTCATTTCTTCTCTGTAACCCTAGTCTGATCACCAAATGCGACCCCGCGATTGGTCACCTCTGCAGGGATTCGCCGCCGTGTTATTCAGGCTTTAGCGAGTTTCCGGCAACGGGGCGTCATGGGCAATTTAATTTAACATGGGAAAAAATAATTCATCTGTTCGAAATAATTTGTTTTCTTTAGGAATTTTCGGAAATATGTTGTTCTAAAAACTCCTATAATTTTTTAGACACTTCAGTTGACGAAGTCAAATTTCTTTGAATTTTTCCGTTAGCCAGTTAATTGTAGTTAAAGAAAAAGAACGCGCGACGGGGTTTCTCTCATAGGGTGACCAATCTAGGTTTGAATAAAAAAAATACAATTCGAAAATATTCCTATCCCTCCCATATTCGAAGAAAAAACTGTTTTCAAGTTCCAACCGACAGAAATGAAGAAAAACAAGTTTTTGCCATTTTCTAGCCGATCATCCCTTTAAAAAATTTTTCAGTTTCCAATCCGTAATTTTTGGAATTCATTGCCACTCATATAATTCTATTCATTCTATCGAAAGACAAGGATAGGAATCGAATTTATGGGTATTCTTCTATTATTCAAAAAAATATATTGATTTCAAAATTTTCCGGAGACATTGAAAAATTAATTTTTTTAGTTCTTGCGCCGACTTTTTGTGCGCTTTTTGAATTTTTGCTTTCTGAAATATTGATTTCCCTCTAATACTTGAAGAAAAAAAGTGATTCGAAGTTTCCGCCGCCATAAAAGAAGAAAAATCCGTTTCTTAGTCGATTATTCCTTTCTGATTCTATCTTCATTTCGTTTTCATAATAATAATTGGAATTCGACTATAGGAATCAGGAGTACTTATATCCTTTTACCATATGAAGGGAAAAATAGATTTTTAAAACTGTCAGGAATACATGAGGAGATATTTCTATTATCCGAGTGAGGTTTCGAATGACTTTTGTTTTATGTGTTTGTTTTGATCACAAAAAAACACTTTTTATTGATCTTTCAGGAAAAAAAAATTTTTTTCCTTAATTATATATATAATAAGAAATACAATTAATAATTATAATAATTAATTTGCTTTATTATATATACGATAAGAATAAGAATCGATGAAATCAATTTAATCGAATTGTGAAGGCAGAAATGCAAATAAAAACAAATAAAATAAAACAGTATAAATTAATCTAGTCTATTCGTTAATTACAAAAATAATCAAAATGATTCCGGTCTCACCAATAAAATCATCGAAATCAACCCAAAAACCGTAAAATTTGCTTGAATTCGATTTCACAATTTCATTCAGTTGATAAAGAAATCTGCAATGGGGATTTTAAGACTCGCAGTGACATCTACCGTGTGATCACCTCAGCATCCGGCGCCGGCTCCCGAGAATTTCGTAACCTAGGAAAACTTGAAGTCAGACTTGCCCGTGAAAAATTATTCGTGTGTTAGGCTGTTAAATTACAGAGGATATATACCAGGATGGACGACGAGAGTGATCAGGACAGTGTCATCGAGGAGGATTACTATGCATTTCTCAATGTCCCGAGAAACGTAAGGGAAAACAGTATTCGTCCCATCATTTTTTATTTGGAGCACAAAATTGGAGCGTCCAATTCTTTTTTTCTCCACGTGTTTTTTTCTCACTCTGCTGACGTAACTGACATTGTTATTAAAATCAATGTCCTCAATGAAAAAAATTTATTCATGAACTCCCATTTTATCAATTACTTTCACTAGTTTTTTTCATGAATTGATTTTTCGTTTAATTTGGGTAATTCTTTTCAATTTCCCGTTTCTCGTGTCGTTTTGATTTTTCTAATCAGATGGGAGTTGATTTGTCAGTTAATTAGTGACCACTCGTGATTTTTGGAGGATCGTAGAGGGGAGTAGATTCATTAATTAGCGGTAGTGATAACAGAAGGATGTAATGAGTTTATTGATTCAGTTTTGAGTGAATAATTTGCTGGTGATTGCAGGCCACTCCTGATGAAATTCATCAGGCCTTCCGGAGGCATAGCAGACTCTACCATCCGGACAAGCACATTGACCCAGTCCTCAAAAAGAAAGCTGAGGTGTTATTCAGCCGAACGAACAAAGCTTATGAAGGTAAAGGTCGTAATTATTATAATTATATAGGAGTTTTCTAGATTATAAGAACTATTATTATTGTCATTGCATATGAGCAGATCCACGTCAAAACGCAAGGCCAAAAAAGTCGATCTCACGGATTTTCTCACCAATTTTTTTCCTAAAAGTTGTCCTCAATGCGAATATTTTGAAAAAAAAATCACCCAAAAATATTGAAAATTAAGGAAGTTACGATTTTTTGAAAATTTTTCGTTTTTTTCGATGCATATTTTCAGGTGATTTTTTTTTAAAGTTTTCAGCAAACAAAGTTTTGCACAGGAAATATACATAGAAAAACCTTTAATTTTTTTTTAATGTTCGCATTGAGACCAACTTTAAAGAAAAAAATCGTCGAGAAAATCCGAGAGATCGACTTTGCGTTTGACGTGGCCTTGCGTTTTGACGTGGATCTGCTCATATAAATAGTATAGATCCATCAAGATATTGTTAGAGGGGCCTTTCAATCTAAAAAATCTAGAAAATCTAGAATCTCACCGTTATCTCTCCTGGTAACCTGTATTAATTTAAAGAGTATAGATATTTCGAGATATTGTTAGACAGGCCTTCTACTCTAGAAAAGTCTCATGTAATGCAAAATTTATAGGACTTAATTATTATCATTGCATTCTGTTCATTCCACTGTTTGAATTGAAGAACAAATGGACAAACTCAATGTTTAACTAATTTAATGTTTAGGGGGTGATGAAAATTAACGCAATTTTTTTGTTTAATTGACACTCCTTAGATAATTGAGGGATCAGTTAAATTCAAAGTTGAATAGCGAAACTTGAGATTGTCAATTAGGTGCTTGTGGGGCAAAATGGATATGTGACTTTTTTTTAATGTTAGTGACTCATGGAATTTTTAATGAAATTTGATTCATTAGAAAAAAACTCAGGCTTCAACTGAACTGCATAAGAATTAATTATTGTCATTGCATTCGATTCAGTCCACTATTTCGCTTAACGAAAAAGTAGAACCTTAATGTTTACAGGTTCATAAAAATTTAATCAACTTTTATATGTAGTCAAGGCTCCTTAAATCATTGAAAGATTATTTATGTTAGAAGTTGAGTGATAAAACTTGAGTTTTGTTAATTAGAAGGGAGTGGGATACAAAAGACATGTGATTTTTTTAAATGTTGATGAGTTTTTGGATTTTTTATGAAATAGAATTTTTTTCTCGCGGTGAGTACACCTGCACCCTTTGTGATTCACTAAAAGAAAACTCAAAATTGAACTGAATTTTCTAAGACTGAATTATTGTCATTGGATGCCCTTCAGTTCACTCTTGTGATCAAGGAACGCGTCGAATTTTAAAGTTCCATCATTGATGAAAATTAACACAAATTTTATATTCAATTAATGGTCCTCGAATAATTGAAGGATTGATTAGATTAGACGCTGAATGGTGAGAATTGAGTTTTGTTAATTAGAAACGAGTGGAATAAAATGGACATGGGGGTTTGTTTTGTTAATCACTCTTTGCATTTTGGATGAAATAATTTTTTTCCATGAGAAGTACATTTGCACCCTTTGTGATTTATTAGAGGAAAACTCAGTCTTGGACTGAATTTTATAAGACTGAATTATTGTCATTGGACGTCATTCTCTCCACTGTTCTCTGATCAACGAACGAGTCGATGTTTAACCATTGACAAAAATTAACATAAAGTTTAAAAATTATTGGAGATATGAAGAAACTTCTTCTTTGTAAAGCATTAAATTTTCTATGAAGGTGTTCAATCAATTTTTGTTAGAATCACTACTGAGACAATTCAACAATGCATAACTAAACAATGAAATCTTCCATTTCAACATGATAAATCTCTATTAATTTTATGGTTATTTAAGAACAGAGAGGTTTCAAAACTTTTTTGTAAATATAATAAAATTAATCATGAATTTTCTTCTTTTTATTGCAAAATCTTGTCAAGTAGATGATTGCCTATGGAACAAGGTGTTCGACAGAAGAATGACGAGAATTTTTTTTTCTTAAGGGTGCCAAGTGAATTTGGCGATGACCTTGAAAATTGACATTCACCAACAAAGTTATAATTTTTTTAATTAATAGTATTAGGCAGATGGTGAACATCGGTGACAATTTTAAAATTTTAGAACTTAGGGATATCGAGAAATTAAATAAACAAAATCAGTCATATACACGGCCTCTTATGGAGTTTTGATTAAATTGAACGTTTCAACCCCCTAGGAACTCAAGAAAAATTTGAAAAAAATTGAAGATATGGGGAATGATGTGTTCAATGTGATGGCGACAAAAAACAATGGGGTACCGGGGTGAATAAGAGAGATATTTCAACCCGCCGTACCCATTTGATCCCATGCTTTCTCGAGGTTCGTCACACGAAATAGAGGATTTTCCGCATTTATTTTCTCGATATCTAGTTCCGGTTCCGGGTTTGAAATTTCATCGGATGGATTAATACGTATTTCTCCAATGATGGAGGGAAAGAAAAAATTTTTTTTGAATCTTTTTTCAAATTCACTTGGCACCCTTAAATTTTCTCTTGCAACAGAAGTATTTTTGATTGAATTGCATTTTCCTCCCACAATTACCTTTCGTGTAATAAAATTTGCCACGATTTTCTAGATAATTTTTATCCAACTTTTCTCTTCCTGTACCTCTCGAGATTATTATCAAATTAATTTTCTCAAAATTCATCGTAAAGATGTTCAATTAATAGCTCTAAAAATAAATTTCTCCTCAGTTCTTAAAGATCCCCATCAGCGAGCGATTTATGACTCCCTCGGCGTCAAAGGCCTCGAGACAAAAGGATGGGAGATCGTCCAGAGGACCCAGACGCCCCAAGAAATCCGGGAAGAATACGAGAGGATAGCGAGGGAGAGGGAGCAGAAGAGGCTGGAGCAACGAACGAATCCCACCGGGAACATCACAGTCCACGTGAACGCCACAGATCTCTTCAACAAATACGATGACGACTATGAGAGTGACGCCCTGTTCGGAGGTGTCGAGATCACAGGAATGACCTTTGAGCAGTCCATCGAGGCTCCTCTGACCCTTCGTGATAAATTAATTTTGTATGGAATGTTGGACACTCAGAATGGAGTTGGAGTTGGGACGATTAATGTCGCAGCCAGGAGAGCAATGTCTGCTAAAAATTATTTGGAGCTCGATGTTGGGGGTGGGAATGGACCAACTGTCACTCTTAAAGGGTATCACGCACTTACGGATAGAGTATTCACTACTGGAGCTCTTTCGCTGCAATTCAGTCCGGAAAAAGCTCAATTAGGAATGGCTTCAAGTAAGTAGAAATAGAAGACTAAGCTTTAAGGATGATGCTGAAACTAGTAAAAGATTCGACAGTAGAAGATTTGTTTTAGGCGAATCTAGAGGTGTACAAATGTTTTTTAGTAATGTACAAACTCTTTCGCACTTAAAAAACATTTGTACGTATGATTATTTGCAGGAATCCCCATCAATATTAAATTTCAGTAATATTACGCGGAGTTGACCCTTACATTATTGAAGGTTTAAAATNTATACACGGCCTCTTATGGAGTTTTGATTAAATTGAACGTTTCAACCCCCTAGGAACTCAAGAAAAATTTGAAAAAAATTGAAGATATGGGGAATGATGTGTTCAATGTGATGGCGACAAAAAACAATGGGGTACCGGGGTGAATAAGAGAGATATTTCAACCCGCCGTACCCATTTGATCCCATGCTTTCTCGAGGTTCGTCACACGAAATAGAGGATTTTCCGCATTTATTTTCTCGATATCTAGTTCCGGTTCCGGGTTTGAAATTTCATCGGATGGATTAATACGTATTTCTCCAATGATGGAGGGAAAGAAAAAATTTTTTTTGAATCTTTTTTCAAATTCACTTGGCACCCTTAAATTTTCTCTTGCAACAGAAGTATTTTTGATTGAATTGCATTTTCCTCCCACAATTACCTTTCGTGTAATAAAATTTGCCACGATTTTCTAGATAATTTTTATCCAACTTTTCTCTTCCTGTACCTCTCGAGATTATTATCAAATTAATTTTCTCAAAATTCATCGTAAAGATGTTCAATTAATAGCTCTAAAAATAAATTCCTCCTCAGTTCTTAAAGATCCCCATCAGCGAGCGATTTATGACTCCCTCGGCGTCAAAGGCCTCGAGACAAAAGGATGGGAGATCGTCCAGAGGACCCAGACGCCCCAAGAAATCCGGGAAGAATACGAGAGGATAGCGAGGGAGAGGGAGCAGAAGAGGCTGGAGCAACGAACGAATCCCACCGGGAACATCACAGTCCACGTGAACGCCACAGATCTCTTCAACAAATACGATGACGACTATGAGAGTGACGCCCTGTTCGGAGGTGTCGAGATCACAGGAATGACCTTTGAGCAGTCCATCGAGGCTCCTCTGACCCTTCGTGATAAATTAATTTTGTATGGAATGTTGGACACTCAGAATGGAGTTGGAGTTGGGACGATTAATGTCGCAGCCAGGAGAGCAATGTCTGCTAAAAATTATTTGGAGCTCGATGTTGGGGGTGGGAATGGACCAACTGTCACTCTTAAAGGGTATCACGCACTTACGGATAGAGTATTCACTACTGGAGCTCTTTCGCTGCAATTCAGTCCGGAAAAAGCTCAATTAGGAATGGCTTCAAGTAAGTAGAAATAGAAGACTAAGCTTTAAGGATGATGCTGAAACTAGTAAAAGATTCGACAGTAGAAGATTTGTTTTAGGCGAATCTAGAGGTGTACAAATGTTTTTTAGTAATGTACAAACTCTTTCGCACTTAAAAAACATTTGTACGTATGATTATTTGCAGGAATCCCCATCAATATTAAATTTCAGTAATATTACGCGGAGTTGACCCTTACATTATTGAAGGTTTAAAATATGTTGATTCGATGTTTCAAATAATATAATATTAATAATCTGATTTTTTACGAATAATGAAATATTTAAAATTTGTTAATATGAACCTGTAAATTCACTACTAAGTGAATAATTCAAATTTATTGAAAGGGGATTTTCGATTACACAAGTAATCGTCAATCTTCCCACCTCAAATTATTGATTGATCAAATAGTTAAAAATTTGGATATTTGAATTGATGATCCTTAATTACTCAAAAAATTTCAAGGTTGATGTTATCTGTTTAAGGGCTCCACAAGTAATCGTAATGAAATATTACAAATTTGGCTATCCCTGGTTATTTGACTCTCCTACATTTAAATATCGCCTAAATTGAATTTTCCGCTGACGAATATTCTGCTAGTTTCAGCTTCATGGTTTAAGGATGTTTATCCAGGGTCCTAAGCACTCAAAAAAAATTATTTTCAACTGATAGAACGAATTGTCTCCCTCATATTGATAAAAAATTTAATCCACCAAAAGGAGTTTAGTTTTCGGAAATGAAAGAGATAATATGGCCCAAGTTTTCCCTTGAATATTCGATTCAGGATATTTTTTCGCATTGCCCTCTATTTTTATATTTATTTTTGGAATTTTCCAGTAGGCGAATTAACAATTTAAATAATAAATCTTATACACATCTCGTGTACAAGAAAAAATTGGTTCATCTAATTTAAATTGTGAAAGCAAATTTTTTTCCATCAATCTTTCACATTTTTGGGTTTTTCAATCAGAGACATGAAATAGTTTTATTTTGTCGGGATGTTTTTCAGCTCTCGGGATGCAGTTGGACAAACATACTGTTGGGTATTTGACTTACAAGACCGGATACAACGGGGCCATGTCCACGAGAGTTGTCAGGAACACCGAGAGATCGTTCACTTCGTTCTCGATTCAGTTTGGATCTCTTAATTCTTATGCTAGTCTCAGCTACACGTATAAAATGCCAGAGAAGAAGATGAAGTTGCGAGGGGCATTGAGGTATTCCACAAACTGTTTAATACCATTTTATTCAATGAATGCGTACATGAATCATTAACTAATCAGGAATTCTGAAAAAAATGAGATAATATTGAAGATTTATTAGATACAACTATATTTGCACCCGGTGGGTTGGCGCAGTGGGTAAGTTCGTTGCCTCACATGCGAAAGGTTCCGAGTTCAAATCCCGGCCGGGTAGAATGATGCAATCTAACCATTAAAGTCTTTGATCATCATCGCTGTATAGCCTAACCGGGTCGAAGCGATGTAAAATAACGATAAAAAAAGATACAACCATAATTTCACGTGGATATGTCTTTGATCTGTACTTTCCAGAAAATCGCCGTATTTCTGCAAATTTTTTGAGAAAGCTCTTTTTTTTCTAATATAGAAAACCGTTACTTTTATTTGTCCAAAACTCACTAAATTTCTACAATTCTCCAAAAGGTTGAAAAATTTTCTAGAAATCCTCATTCAAATTTCCACGAGAATTCGAGATTATTTTGGAAAAACCTCTGAAATTTTCTCGATTTTTTTAGAAAACTGCAGGATTTCTTCGGGTTCTCTAGAACTCCGTGGAATTTTCTGAAATTTTGCAGAAAACCGGAGAATTTTTTCAAATTTTCAAGAGAAATCCACAATTTTCTAGAATTTTGATAAACGGCGCTGCGGTATAAAGACTTTTTCGCGAAAAGACCCTCCATAATGAAACCATAGACGTATCCACTTCAAAAAAAAAATTGCATGTGTATATTTTCCTCACAAGGCTGGAATAGTATTTTTCGTCACTAGACCGAAAGAAACTTTACATACAAATATGAGTTTGCAATCATATGAGCCAGAAAATTTTTTTTCGACCATGTGATAAACATTGTTCAACTCCTTCTGCTTGCCCGGTGGCTTGGCGCACTGGGTAAGTTCGTTGCCTCACATGCGAAAGATTCCGAGTTCAAATCCCGGCCGGCTAGAATGGTGCAATGTAACCATTTAGTCTTGATCATCATCGCAGTATACCCTAACCGGGTCGAAGCGATGTAAAATTACGATTAAAAAAAAACTGCTTCTCCTTCTCTCGCTCCATCTGCTCTTTCACCATTGGGTTGACAATCAATCTTTTCACTATGGTTCAATGAACACATACACAATGAACAATGACGACATGTGATAAACATTATTTTCTATTTAATGTTTATCATATGTATATAAACGGTGTTTTTTTTTAGATATGTGATAAACATTATTTTCCATTTAATGTTTATCACATGTCGTAGCGTCCGTGATTTACTGATTTACGACCAGAATGACAAAAATAAAATTTCATAATCATTAAAACCGTAATTATCCACACAGAGTTGGCACTAACGGATACTTCGTGGAGTATGGTGCAGAGAAGAGGGTATCGAAGCACAGTTTCCTCTCAGCAGCAGTGCGTGTTGGTGTTCCCTCAGGTGTTTCCTTAAGATTAAAATTGATGCGTGCATCTCAAACGTACCTGCTCCCCATCAGTCTGTGTGAGGACGTGTTACCAGCTCCAGTATTCTACGCAACAGTAGCTCCCCTCTTAACGTGGACGATAGTGAAAAAATTGATTGTCGATCCAGTGGTGAAGGAGCAGAGGGAGCGCGAGAGGGAGAAGCAGAAGGAGTTGAATAAGGCGAGGATGCTGGAGAAGCAGAGGGAGGCCAAGGCTGCTGTGGACTTGATGATGGCGACCTTCAGCAGAATTCGTGCCGAGGAGGAGGCCAAAGGGGGTCTCGTCATCACTAAAGCACTTTATGGACGATTTGTTTATCCTGACAGGAGAAACAGGGAGGAGGAGATTGGGAGCGATCCTAAGGAGGATGTTATTGATGTCACAGTGCCACTGCAGTGTCTCGTTGTTAATTCAAGGCTGGTCCTTCATGAAGCATCCAAGGTAATTGAATGATATACGTTTCAGAACCCCTAATAGATAAAAATGATAATTAAGAGTATCCAAGTAGCTTTCACAGTTTGACATTTTCCATCATCAAATTTGTCATTTACATTGCGTGAGAAAAATTTGAAAAAAATCAGGAATATTCCGCGTCATTCAAATTACATTTTGCACAGAATTATTATTTTTTTACATTCGTTGTTTATCGATATATGATTGAAATTGTTTAAACTTTCGGAAAAATGATTTTTTTAGGCATGATCGATTTCTGGTAAAATTCCGAATACGAATAAATTTGTTACGATTACGAACAAATAATTTTTATGGTGGAAAATTGATTGTTTATAAATGAATTATAGGAAATGCTCGTAATTATCAAAAATTGCAGTTTCAAAAATACAGAATTGCAGAATTGCAGTTTAAAATTGCAGAATTATTATTTTTTTTTACATTCGTTGTTTGTCGATATATGATTGAAATTGTTTAAACTTTCGGAAACATAATTTTTTAGGCATGATCGATTTCTGGTAAAATTCCGAATATGAATAAATTTGTTACGATTACGAAAAAATAATTTTTATGGTGGAAAATTGATTGTTTATAAATTAATTATAGAAAATGCTCGTAATTATTAAAAATTGTAGTTTTTAATTTCTTTCATCAAAATTTAGATTTCAAATTTCCAAATATATTTGACGAAAGGTTTAAATTGTGAAGTACTAGAATAAGTTTGCACATATTTTTACTGATATCTTTGGAAGGAAAGGGTTTGTGCTTACTTTTGGATCCAATAGTTTTTAGAACTGACTGAAAATGTAGGGGCCTTTTTTCAAATTTGTCTTGGCTCCAAAAAAGCTCTTCTGACATTTTTCTCAAAATCTGCTAGTGCGGGAGATATTTATGAATTAATATGGAAGACTGTTCTGACTCGACCAGTATTCATCATTGTGACTTTGCGAACAATAATTGTACTCGAGACAATTTTCACGGGACAGTTATTGTTCAGAATTTTCTCAAACGAAAATGCCTGCCTGACCTTCTTCTCTCAACCTACGAATTTTGGAGATATTTACGGAAATGAAAACATTGTTTGTTCGCATCAATTGTTCGTTGTCTTGATAATAAGAGAAAAATAGGTAGGAGAAATTAACAAGAGACATTCTCACGTATGAAAGATGTCATACGAAAGATGTCTGAACGCTCCAGAGAAAAACATAGAGAAATGTCGCAACTCCATACGAAATGTTTCTATACATGTGGCAGTGGGTCGTATAGGATCAAACCTATAGAAATCGTATAGAAATAATTTGTATACAAAATATTCGTATAGAAATATCCGAAAATCATATACGAAAATCCTACGGAAATTCTATGCGCAATTCGTATAGAAAATTTCTATACAATTTTTTCATACGTGCTGTACTGGAAATTTCATTATTTGCAAGAAAAGTCTCTTGCAGATCATATTTATTCCTAAACCCAACCCTTCCATAGATATTTAGCAAAATAAACTGTAAAATTCAATGTGGTTTTCCGTATTTTTCAGAGTGAACTGCCAGGATTTTATGACCCTTGCTTCGGAGAAGACAAACAATTGCTCCTTCAGTATCTCTTCCACAGACAGACACACGAGTGTCTAGTGAAGGACCTCGAGCCGCTCAGGATACCTGTGCAATGTAAGTTGAATCTCATTTTATATCATTCTACTGCTTTCGTAGTCGTAAGGCAGAATTTTTATAAATTGCTGAAATGTATCTTCACGATTTATCGATCAGAAACATTTTTTTACAGCCCACCGTGTAAATACCACATGACAAAAGCGTCAGCCGAGGGCGAAGCAACTGCAAAAATAATTTCCAGGAGATTTACTTCGCTATTATGAATGCAATCACAAACTGATTCGACAGCACTATGAAATATTGATCGAATAATTTCATGAGAACTGTTAACACTTTCTAGTGATGGACACGAGTTGATTAATTGTATTTTTGTGGATAAAGAAATGATAGATTGTTGACGAATTGACAAATATTTTCGTCTTGAAATACGTCCTGAAATGGTAAAATCTAGTATCAAATTCGACAATTCTGTTCATTGTCTATTTATCTCGAAAATGAGTTACTCTATGCAAAAATGTCGGGAGACCTTTTTTGTAGGTGAAAGAATTTCCAACAGAAAATGTCTCTTGACATCCTGCCAAAGCCAGTTACTATTGGACTATTACCAAAGACGCACATTTCGCACATTGGTGATGACGCCGTGCGTGGGGAGAAAATCTTACACTACAAAAGCCATGACAAAAATTTTGCTGTCGCCCTTAGATTTCGAAATATTCATTGAAAACTGGCCAATAGTCAAAATCGACTTGAACCATTTTACCACTTCGCTAGTGATTCATTTCGAGTGAGGAAAATTGTTGAATCAATTGTTGAATTTCTGGAATAATTGAACATTAATTCATCATCGATTAAGTCAAGGTGTCAAGTGATATACTTTGAATGATAAAAGATTCATAAATAGGACTAGATTAACATAAAATTATGAAAAAATGGATAGAAGAAAAAAAAATTTGAGTCAAGTGGTGAAACAAAACAGAATTGGTCGATTTCGCACATTCATTTTAATATCAAAATGATTTTTGAAAATTTCTTTCTCTAAACAAATGTATTTTGACATTTTCATCACAAATTACTCTTTCGAGACCAATGTGTTCATTGTCTATTTATCTCAAAAAAGAGTTATTACTCTCTGCAAAAATGTCGAGAAACCTTTCTTGTAGTTGAAGAAACTTCTAAAAAAAATGTCTTCTGACATCTTCCTAAAATCACTTGCTAAGGGCTATCTGCGTTTTTAACAACGTGTGCAGAACACTTTGCAGATTGGTGATGACGACGTGCATGGAGAGAAAATATAAAATTCTAAAAATGAAAAAAAAAACAGAAAAAACAAATTCAGACGCCAAATGATAAAACGAAACAGAATTGGTCGATTTCGCACATTTATTTTAATCTGAAATTATTTTTGGAACTCTTCCTATACAAAAATATGTTTTGGAATTTTTGTTTAAAATCACTCTTAACGAAAAGGTCATGTTCTATTGATTGGAGTTCAAACAACTTTTTACATTCATTCAAATAGTGAATGATCTCGATACAAGTTGTATTAGATAAAAATGTCAATAAACCGTTTTTTTTCAATATTCTCCCCTTGAATCACTCTTCTTCGAGATAACTGCAAAATTGACAGAAATGTCAAGTTCAATTAACTAGCTTTAGTGACTCGACGACTGGATTGATTCGAAGAATTATATTTTACGTAATTATATGATTAGAGTACACATAGATGAATTAGATAAATTTATTAATTTGTCTATTGAGGTCTTATCCACGGGGATCAAGGGTCTATGCTCATTAAGTCAGTTGAATCTATCGCTAGCACTGAATTTTTCGAGAGGTGCTTCTCGTAGACACTCAGCTCAGCATCTTTCGCTTCTATTTTAGCCAATGGAGTCCATGAGTTGTCATGCTCCAGACGGTAGGATCCTCTGAATGTTTGTGAAGGTCCTGTACTGCCCCATTCCTGGAACAAAGATTATGGTGTTCGAATAAATAATCAAAATTGCAAAGAAACGAAATTTCATTATGTTTATCCCATTCTTATTAGGTGTTCCTCCATGCCTTCTCATATCATCATTTATTACCGAGATTATTTACTAATTTTCTTTTTATTCTTCCCGCATAAAAAACTGCCAAAACCGTGCGATTTAGAGTCTCATAAATATTAAATATTTTCGCATTTTTATCTTTCTTTAGTAAACTTTCGCTGATTGAAGAATTGTTGTGGGAGGCATGAACTCATCCAAGAGTAGAAGTTTTCTTGAAATCACTACTCATCATGAGAATTCCGTGTTCCCATATGCTGACCCTATCAGTGAGAAATCATTGGAATGGAATCATTTATAATGTAGAATGACACTTTTTAATTTCTTTCTTGATGATTTCTATAATTATATAATTCAAAATCTAAAAAAACTGATAATGCTGAACTCTTCATGGTTCGCCGACTTTTCCCCGACATTTTCTCCTCCCAAAATTTCCCCGCACCATTTCTTCTTCAAAAACGCATCCTAGCCCTCATTTTTTCCCCTTCAATTTCCTGGTTCCTTCCAATTTCCCCAATTAATGTCATTTACATAGAAAACTATTTATTAAATAGTCAATTTCATCTTTCTCTCTGTAACTTGTTCATAACAGTTATGAAGGGCTTATCAGGTAGCTGTTTACTGTTGTGTAACATGCTCATTTTTTAGATTTCTTCGAATTAAGATGTTTTTGTCCAAATCTTTAAATAACTAATGGGTTGATGGACAGAATAAATTAATGCCCTGATGAAGAACACTTTACGTGTTCGAAATGTTGACGAATCGCGTAAGAATTGGTTTTTCTCTCAATTCTTTCCTTTGTTTCAATTCTGATTCAAATGAATGAGGAAGAAATGGTACGAGGAAAATAGGGGGAGGGGGGGGGGTAGAGGAATTTGTCTGTTGAAAGTGAGGATTTTTAAAATTTTTTCTTCTCCATGTTTTCAAATTTAAGGATTAGGTCTGGGGAAAAATGATAGGAACATATGTTTGAGAAAATTCATTTCTCAAAATTACCTCTGGACTCAACATTGAGAAATAAGTCTGTCCCGATGGTTTTTCATACAAGTGATAAATCTTTCCTGGGTGTTTGATAAAATTACAAGCCGCATGATGCAGCATATGACCCTCTTTAGCCTCTTGTAGAACTTTCTGTGCTTGCATCTGTAAGAATTTCATTTGCTCTGCAATCACATGGAGCTTGTTCTGGGCATTTGCTTTGATATAATCGTCTGCCTGCAGAACAAAAAAAACAATTAAATGACATTTACACAAAAAAAATTATTAGTTTTCAGAACTAAGGTACTGAATTTACGAAACTCGGGGCCATGAAATTTTTAATCGTGAAATTCAGTGTTAAAAACCTATGTATTTTCTACGATAAAAGTCCTTAGATCCTGTGCTATTGGATTCTTATATTAGAAACCATTGGCCACGGAAACTCATTTTTTTAAATGTCGCATAAAAAACTAGAGTTTAACGAACAGTCGTATAGGGTAATGTGTGCAAAAAAAAGCTTTAAGACTATGAACTATTGGATTGAAGGTGGCAGTATACAGCTCTTGTGGACGCAATATGTTGAATTTAATTTTTTTTAAATCGTTTTCTCGGAAAAATATTTGAAAACTCAGGTTGATATTGCGCTTAAAAAACACTCTTGGTTTATTCGATAAACTCTAAAGAGGATTTCCCCCAGGAAAAATTGCCCGGACTACTTGGATATCCTGTAAGTACAGTTAGTACTAGACTTCAGTAGAAAAAAATAGATTTGCAGAGAACTATTTTAGAAGGTAGGCGGAAAAAATAGGCCAGGAGAAAATAGCCCACACGCCCAAAACGTGCTAAAACCTACTCAACTTAAAAATTGCCCCTGGTCTATTTTTTCCAGGATTCCTATTAGAATAAGTGAAAAATTCATTTAAATCTAGGACTTTTTGATGTTTAGATTTCAGTACCACAGTACTGAAATCAGTTTGAAAAACCGAAAATTATATTTTTTTTGTCTGATGTATTCTGATCGACAATTGACCAATTTCTTTTTGAAGAGGTCATGTCACTGTACCTTTTGAATTTCCATTGCTAATTGAACTATATCCTGCGTGGACGATTTTGTTGTTCTGTAGGGATTGATTAGCTCCACACCTCGTGGAAATAGGTTACGTTCCACCAAGGCAACTGAAATTCATTAACAAATTATAATTCACGAACAGTATCGAGGATTTCTCCCAACAATTGACTATTTTCGATGCAGAAAAGACTTTGAACGTTGATGCATAGAGAATTGTTCGCAGAACTCCATACCTTTGTTAGACGTTCCATCTGGGCTGTCCATTGTTGAATAGGCTCGTTTCATAGTAGATGAGGCTGCAGTGATGCAAGTAATTATCTAATGTCTAGTCTGGTGCAAAACCACTGAACTGTTGGTATGGTATCCTTAACTGGAACGGCCGTCAGACTGTGGATTCTGTCACAAAAAACAGGAGTCATTAAACATAAAATAATAATACTATACCAACCCAGATGAAAATGATTTAGGGGAGAGTGGGGCAGTATGGACACTTTTTACATTCCTTGAAATGTCAATAATTCATTGAACGGTTGAAGAAATGGGAATATTCTTTTTTCTTTGTAAAGTACAATTCAGTCGTGAAGTTGTAAAAGGAGATAAGTCGACTTAGCTCTTCGGTGAGTTTTCCTGGAATATCTCCGAAACTAAGGGAAATAGTGAAATTTTTGTCATAACTTTTTTTGTAAAACTAATTGATAGCTACCAAAAAGGTTGGAACACAAATTTCGCTATCTCCCTTACTTTCGGAGATATTTCCCAAAAACTCGCAGAAGAATTAAGTCGACTTATCTCCTTTTACCACTTCACTACTGAATTTTTCGTTCTCCTGATGAGGCCAGAGTGAGCTTAATTGATGAATGTATTCCATCGCTATAAACATTTTAAAAAAGCTAATGTCCATTTTGCCCCACCCTCCATGAAAATATGAATGGCTCATAATTGATTATTTCCAAAACTGAAAAGTAAGTCAACTAGCTTCAATTACATATCGGTTTCATAATTCAGTAACGAAGTGGTAAAACGGTACAAGTCATTTTTGACAATTGACCAGTTTTCAACGAATATCTCGGAATCTAAGGAAGATAGCAAAATTATTGTTATAACCTTTTTTGTACAGGGCATGCGGAAAAGAAAGAGAAATACTGGAGCATGTGGTAAACTGCAAGGTGCTTAGAGAGCCGCCCAAAAAGATGTGTGATAGACTGGGGAGGATGGAGAAACAAAAAAAAGTATTTTTTTCTAAATAAAGTAGTATATATATATATACCTATAATAATAATAATAATAATAATAATAATAATAATAATGATAATAATAAAATGTAATAATTATAGAACTGAAAAATCAATTATTTGAAATAATAATAATTCTTTTCAGTAAAATATAAGGATAGTTAATCATTATATTTTACTAACTAAAATAACATTAATTAATGTTAATGATTGTTAATGATTTTGTGTCTGTCATTGAGGACAGCAGAGGAGGGGAAGAAGAGACAACGAGGAATGTAGGCAAAACAAGCAGTGCTGATGTTACCGGTGATAGATCCTAAAACGACAGTGAAGGGTGCTATTAAATAGAAATCGTAGAAATCATACGGGGAGAGAAGCGAGTGATTATGGACGTTCGAAACATCTAAATATTATAAATATCTTTATAATGCAAAGTGAAAGTCTTTTATTTATCTCTATATGAAATTCAGTAGTGAAGTGGTAAAAGGAGATAAGTCACTTTTGACTATTGACCAGTTTTCAATCAATATCTCGGAATCTAAGGGAGATAGCGAAATTTTTGTTATAACCTTTTTTGTGGGGCCGATTGAGTGCTACAGCAAATGTAATTACGAAAATTTCGTCATCTGCCTTAGATTCCGAGATATTGATTGAAAACATAAATGAATTGAATATTAAAAAAAACTTTTTTGCAGAGCCGATAGAGTCCTACAATAAATGTAGGGGAGGGTGGGGTAAAACGGACACTAGACTTTTTTAAAATTATTCATAACTCAGAAACCAATTGATCAATTGAGCTCAGTTTAGGCTTCGTCGCAAAAGGGAAAGAATTGTTCTTTGTATTTTAAAAAAATCAAATTTTATCAACATTTCAACCCCTCATTGACATTTAAAAAAAAGTCAAAAGTGTCCGTTTTACCCCAACCTCCCCTAATTACGAAAATTTCGCTATCTCCCTTAGATTCGGAAATATTTCTCAAAAACTCGACTGGGAGGTAAGTCGACTTAAACCGTTTTACCACTTCGTTACTGAATTTTTCGTTGATTAGAAGTTATCACATTCTAGTTGTATCGAGTGCATAGCACGCCTGGAAACAAAAGGGCCCCGTCAGTGAAGGGTTAGAAAAGAATTGGCACTTGCCTCTACGCACCTCTACGAGAGTGAGAGGATGAAGCCGCCAGGATTAGAGTAAGAAGACGGACTGAAGAACGGATCTAAATAAACAGCCACAGGCTCACGGGCCTCACGGGTGGGCCAATGACTGTGCGCTGTGCAGCTAACGCCAGAGACCAACCGCGATCATTTGTGAGGTTAAAAGGTGGCCAAGTCTTTCTCTTATTTCATTGACTAATTGTGATAAATTCTCAATTTAAATATGTGGAACGAGATTTTAGCCAGTATTGATGAACTCAAGTTGGGTTTTTTACTAGCGATGGTGGCGGGCTACGGTTTCTACAAATTTGCGACGAGGAAGAGCGCGACGGATGCCGGTGATAGCGTTGTAAGTTCCATCTCAGCAGAAACATTTTGATATTTGGCGTTTTTGTTAGTCAATGTTGACTACAATTTTGCTTCTGAATGGAAACTTTGAAATCGCTGAAACTTAAGTGTACATTTTTTTGTGTTAAGGTCGCTAAATAGGGGAGGTTGGGGTAAAATGGACATTTTTGACTTTTTTAAAAATGTTTATGAAATTGTGATGAAATTTAATAATTTTTTTTTCAATACAAAGAACAATTCTTGCCCTTTGTGATGAGCATAAACTGAGCTCCATTGATAAATTTGTTTCTGAGTTATGAGTAGGGAAGGATGAGGTAAAATGGACACTAGACTTTTTTTATTACCCATAACTCAGAAACAAATTTATCAATTGAGTTCAGTTTAGGCTCATCACAAAGGGAAAGAAATGTTCTGTGCATTGAAAAAATAATTATTGAATTTCACCAACATTTCAAGATGTCATTAACAGTAAAAAAAAAGTGAAAAGTGTCCGTTTTACCCCAATCTCCCCTAATTAAAAAAAAGTCTAAAGTGTCCATTTTACCCCACCCTCCCCTATGTTCTAAAAAGTCCGAATATAGGATTTTTAGATGGTGTCTGTACGTATGCAGATGGTCTTTTTTCTTAACTTTTTTTCGCAAATTTCTTATGAAGGGTCAATCGAATTTCATAAATTTTTTCATGACTATAGACTTCAATCAGCTCTATTCATTGACATTAATTAAATTTCAATTTTCCATACCGTTTCGCTAAATTGATATTTTTACAAAAATCGATTTTTCAAGGATCATTTTTCAGAAATCAAAATGACGTGACAGCTAGGTATCTCAATTTTTAAAACAGTGGTATGTATTCATCTGCCATTTTGATGTGATAAAAGTGTGATTAAAAAATTTCCAAAATATTACAACTTTTTTCAGAGAGCCTTTTCCGTAATAAACGTCTCTGTGCAGTGTGGGAAAAGATTTTCGAAATCAGTCTTCCCCCCCTGCATGATATTGGGTGACAAGTCGCCATTTGTCACCGTAAATCAGATACATTTTTCAATTTCTTGTTATTCAACTTATTCTGAATATAAATTAAGAATGCTCTTTGAAAAAATTAAGAATTTTTTCTCCTTTCTTTTCATTATCCATTCATAATTTTTCAAAACTTCTGCATGATGCAGGACTTAATTGACAATTTCAGATGGCGAAAGATGAAAGAAAAACATCGAGATAACGTTCGAAAGATAGTACACCCGGGCCTTAAAGGTTTTCCTCTCAAAATGTTCGTGAGATTCCAAAAAACGAACTATATGTTTTCTTTATTATGTCAAATAGATCATGAGAATAGTATATTTCGTCATTCGGACGAAAAAACTTCTGGCGAATATGAGTTTCCAATTATATGATCTAGTACTGACATGAAAAAATAAAAGAAGAAAATAGGGAAATAGGAAGTTTAAGAGAGAGAACCCGTTCGGCATTAGGTTGAAAAAAAACATCTGGCGAATACGAGTTTGCAATTATATGAGCTAGAAAATAGTATATTTCATAACGAGTGCAAAAAACATTTTTTCACGAGTTACGAGCAATATTTTTCATCACAATGTGGCGGAAATTGGACTTTTAGACACGCGGAGCGTGCCGAAAAGTTCACTTTTCGTCCCAGCGTGATGAAAATACTATTTCGGCCTTATGTCGAAACATACCATTACGACCCTGTGACGAACATTTTTTGTTCCCATGACATGCTCACCACTAATGACAATTATGTTCCTGTCAGGTGATTGGTGAAGGTTCTGATGAACACAAAATGGTATTGGTAGTGAGAAACGACTTGAAAATGGGGAAAGGAAAGGTGGCAGCTCAGTGTGCTCATGCTGCAGTAGCTGGATTCGAAGCTGTTCTCAAATATCCAAAACTCTTGCAGGAGTGGACGGAAAATGGACACAAGAAAATTACTGTCAAGGTAAAATGAACTTTCCCCCTGCGAAAATTATCCCATCGACATATTACATTATAATCATTCATCATCATTCGAGTGTTTGGAATTCCCTGATTTCCCCACGTTGTGTGACCCTCGGAAATTCTGCTCTGTATCTGCAGATGAATGTAAAGAAAGTTTCAGCAGCGAATTGATAAAACGTTTCAAGTCGATTTAGCCTTCACCCGAGTTTTCGAGGAATATCCTCAAATCCAACGGAGATAACGAAATTTTCATAATGACCTTTTTTGTAGCCCTCAATTCACTCTACAAAAAAGGTCATGACAAAAATTTCGCTATCTCTCTTAGATTTCGATATATGCATTGAAAACTGGCCGATATTCAAAATTGACTTGAATCGTTTTACCACTTCGGTATTGAGTTATTTGAATAAAAAGGAAAATTCCCGTTAAATTATTGATTGAAACCCTAATGGCTCACCCCCACTTCTAACACTCTTTACCAGTCGCCTTCTAATGCCTGTGATTTTTAACATTCGTTTTCATTTTAAGGTGGACAGCGAAGAAGAGTTGGACCAGATAAATAAAGCAGCAAGAGCAGCAGGTTTGATCGCAATAACAATTCGTGATGCAGGTCGCACGCAGATCGCAGCTGGCTCCAAAACCGTCTGCTGCGTGGGTCCAGGTCCTGGTGAAGTAATCGATCAAGTAACCGGTCATTTAAAATTATACTGAGACAATAAAAAATCTTCGATACTTTTTCTACTGAATGAACATCCTTTATTCCATTACTTCATTATAAATATGTTATCATTTAACGTTTGGAGTGCTTCATACGTATATTGTACCTGCGATCAATTTTCTATGTGTTATTGGACGGATACACAGTTTCTTTTTTAATTAATCGACTTCACTCTTCTTGGCAAGAATCACAATTTGAGAGGGATTTACCCGTTGTCGAAATATTTCGCCCCTTCTTTGAATACTTTGAGATTTTTAAGAACGAATATTTCATTTTTTAGATATGATTTCAGTACTGAAGTGGTGACATGAGATAATTCCAAAAGAGATTTACAAATTATTCTGTAGGTATTTTCGAAATGAAGGGATTCAGAGGAAAGTCTCGTAGAATTTTTTAAATCTTTTTGGCTTTGAAAAAGATTTCTTTGCATTTTTATTCCTAAATTCGCTGATTTATTATTTTAAAAAACTCTGAACTTTTTTTGGTGAGAATTTTTACTCGTTACTGAGGTATTTACAAAATAATTTATGCGAAATTAATGAACGCATCTGGAAAATTTCGCTTCCCTCAACAACTTTGATCCATCGATTATTGAATAATTCCAGAACTCAGTCGTTAAAGAAAACTCACAAGACTTTCTGATGAAAATTCTCTCCTCTTCGAAAAATTTCTCTTTACATTTTCTCTCAGTCACTGGTTTCCAAAATATTTACAAAAAAATCTGTTCAAATTTTCGTCATTTCTTGAACAATAAATTGTCATCACTTCGTTGATTTGATCAATCCCATTGACGAAAAATTATCTAAGAAATGAGGATATCAAACAGGTGGAGGTGGTGCTTTCCGATGAATTTTGTTGGAGCTAGTGGCACTACATTGGCTCTCAGCAATGGATCTCCCATCAGCCTCGTCCCTCCTGCACAATTCTGGCTCGTTCTGCAGCCAATTCTGTGTCTGGCTCGTCTCCGATCTTGAGAGTTGTCTCTGTTCGCTCTCCGTGACATTCCCGACTTCCTCAAGTAATTTAGAGAGTGACGGGGCCAACCCAAGCCCCAAATTTCGTTCATGATAAACATCGGAGATGGTGGGTGTCAATTCCCTCGTCAATCCTGTCAGAGAATTTCCCAAATTCCTCATCTGTGGCATTCCATCGGTTCCAGTGGAGGAATCAGTTTGGTTCAGCTCTTCATTGTTTCCTGGAAGTCTCAATTTTCTTGCAGCACCTGTACCCAACTCTGTTCGCACACTCAGGCGCTCCAAGACTGTTGGAGGGATTGGGGGGAGTGGTTGTCTCCTCAGAACTGTATTGTGACCATTCTCCCAGTCTGTCACTGAACTGCTTGAGCTAGAGTCTGGTTGAAGAGCTTGATCCTGGTATAAGCTCCTTATTCGGGCCTGGTGGTTCAGGGTCAAGGCCACTGGGGGACTTGGAGTGAATGCTGTGTCTGATTCTCCTGAAGGAAAAAAATTTTAAATTAAAAAATTGAAAATAATCTAATCATAGCCAGAAAATTCGTCGACTCATTAATCATCTGTTAATTATGAAATTACTTCTGATTTTCTAAGAGTTTAGATATTTTTGATAATGATTTAGCAATATGCCTCCGTATGGACATTTTTTTATTTTTTGCCATAGTATAGCGTTTCATATTATAATATTTATCATTGAATTATATTGAATTACACTACATCTTTTACCAATCGTGTTAAAATTTTAACTCATTCACAGTTACTTCTGAAAGTGGTATTGAAAAAACTTTTTTGATGCAAAATTAAATTAATTTGAAACATAATATTTGAAGCAATTGTAAGAAAATAGATTTAAAAGAAAGAATATTGGAAAATTTAATGGGCTACGAAAAGGGTGTGTTTCTTGGAATCCCTTTCTGATGAATTTATAAACAAGTGGGAAATTTATTTCGTCATAACATAGTGAATATATTTTTGTTAAGAAATTAGCAATTTGCTTCCGAATGGAATGTCTACAACGATGTATTTTAAATTGAACTCAATCATTCATTGAATCTAACATCGTCCTAACGTTGGCAGCCAATATTATCTCAACATGGACAAATAATATTGCCCCCACATTGACAACCAACATTGCCCCAAAGTTAAAATTTTGTATCTTTCCCTGAATATTGGTTTTAAAATAATTTTTTTTCGACAGATGATGTAATCAATCTCATGATTAACCAATAATTTTTTCAGTTATCGTATGTAATTCCACAAGAGCTTCAAAGTTATCAGGGATTTCCCGATAGATTTGTTGCAAACAAACGAAGGAGTCAAGTTTTTCAGGAAAAACTGCTCGAAAACGCTTAAAATGCCAAAAACAATCCAGGGCCTCCAATTTTTGAGCTACAAAGGATTTTTTTTCAAAATTTTCGGAAAAATATGTGGAATAACAACTCCGAGCTCGTTTTTTCTTTAATTCGCCTTTTACATGACTAAATTTGCTTTTTTTGTATTTTTTTACACAAATAGTGAATTTTTTTATATGAAGAAAAAAACCGAAATCAGCTGTGTAGGAGTCGAATTCCAAAAAACTGGCTCGTGATTGTTGTTCCATACATTTTTCCGGAAATTTTGAAAAAAAAAATCTTTTGTAGCTTAAAAATTGGAGGCCCTGGACTGTTTTTAGCATTTTAAGCGCTTTCGGGCAAATGAACAATAAAAAAAAATTTTTTTTGCACTAATTATTCGTTTTCAGATTTATATAATCGATCTTCAACGTATGAAAAATCTCACTCCAATAACCAATCCACTCCAATCTTTTTTAATCGATTCAATTTATTTTATCAATATCTTGAGATATTTGAAATGTTTACCTCCTTCATTCGGATAAGATTGACGAGACATTGGAACGCAAGATGGCTCGGTTGTCTTCCCATCAGGCTCTCCACGATGTCTGACGTACGAAGCAAAAGCTCCACCCAACCTTGGACGTTCCAGGAGGCCATTCTTCTCTGGTTGTTGTACAGATGCTAAACTCTCCATTGAACTTCCGGAGTCGAGGCTGAGGCTCTTCGGTGCTTCTTGGGTGTCTGCAAAGTGGGTTGGAATCGAATCAGTGGAGGAAGAAAAAACTTGGAGAGATGAATGTTTTATGCTATTATTGCTATATTACCGAATAAAGCAAGTAACGCCTGGAGTGCAAACTGCACCGCCCTCCTCGAGGCCTGTTTTCCGGTTCTGAGGGTCACCTCTGCCTGTCCAACCTCCATCAGATCCATCCCCAAGCTTGCGAATAACTCGTGGGACCCTGAGGCTCTCCAGACTCGAACAGGGAGAGACACTTCTTGACCTTCTGTTGCACTTCCTGCTTTTCTCATCGCAGTTATGACGTCTTCAGCGACTTCTGGAGCCTAGAAAAATCCCAGAAGTATTAGTGAATTGGAATTTCATCGATTAATTGAGCGTTTTTTAAGAAGAATGAAAAGAAATCTGAACTTTGATCTTCAAATTTGAGGTGAAAGGGATGAAATAAGTGAAGGGGTTTAGGGGACAATATTAAAAGACATTTTTTAAAGGAAAATTTGCTAAGGATATTCAAGTACTTTGGCTATTTTTTCTCCAGTGAAATGCTTCTTCATTTTTGTAGTCACACATCAGAGCTTTCATTTGAGCCCCATTTGACCCTAAGTTTCCGGACATTTTATAACGATTTTATGATTTAAACATCGCAGGTCTGAATTTTAATTTCGATATTGAACCGTTGGAAAATATTTTAAGGCCCGGGTGTACTATCTTTCGAATGTTATCTGGATTTTTTTTTATTTTTCGTAATCCAAAATTGTCAATTGAGTGGTACATCATGTAGAAATTTCCAAAAATTATGATAGAGTGATAAAAAAAAATAGAAAACATTCTGAGCTTTTTTAAACAGCGTTTTTAATTGAGATTCAGAATGAGTTGAAAAAAGTGGAAATTATAAATATCTGATTCGCTGTGGCAAATTATCTATTAGCTGTCATTTTCCATGGTGGATAACAAAACAATAACTCCTCATGGGAAGTGACAGCTAGGTATCTAAATTTTCAAAACAGTGGTATGTAGTCATCGGCCATTTTTATGTGATAAAAGTGTGATTAAAAAATTCTCCAAAATATTACAACTTTTTTCAAAGAGCCTTTTCCGTAATAAATGTCTCTGTGCAGTGTGGGAAAAGATTTACGAAATCGGTCTTCCCCCTGCACAATATTGGGTGACAGGCCGCCATTTGTCACCGGAAATCAGATACATTTTTCAATTTCTTGTTATTCAACTTATTCTGAATATAAATTAAAAATGCTCTTTGAAAAAATTAAGAATTTCTTCTACTTTTTTTATGATTATTCATTCATAATTTTTCAAAACTTCTGCATGATGCAGGACTCAATTGACAATTTCAGATGACGAAAGAAGAAAAAAAAACATCGAGATAACGTTCGAAAGATAGTACACCCGGACCTTAAAAATCTAAAAAGAAATTAGAAAGTTTACTTTTGGAGGAAGATTGATGAAATAATTGAAAAATTGAAATTTTTGAAAATTACAAGCATTTCCCATAAACAATTTATAAACAATCAATTTTCCACCATAAAAATCATTTGTTCGAAATCATAACAAATTTATTCGCATTCAGAGTTTTCCTAGAAATCGATTTTATCGATAAATAAATAAGTTTCCGAATGTTTAAACAATTTCAATTGTTTCTTTATAAAGAACGAATTATTATTTATAAAAAAACGAATATTCATGAATTTTTTAAAAATTTTCTCATGCAATTTAATTTACATATTTGATGTTTGATATTAGTTCAATCTATGGTGTGGTCTGTACCAAACTGTAAAAGATACTGGGCCATCCTTAACTATTCCACTCAATTTATGATCGTTCGACTTTTCGACGAGCGACGTACCTCGTCCGCGGTCAATAAAGTCAAAAACCTCTCCGATAAATTACCAGTTTTTTACATGTCGAAAAGATGTAGAACATACACTGAGAAAAGAAAATTCTAAGAAATAGAAATTCTATGATTGATCCAAATCGTTCATCGATTGAATAGTCGCAAAATGCTATTGCAGGACACAAATATCGATTTGAACCAAACCAAAATTGGATTGTATGAAATCGAATTTGTCATAGTATAGTATATTTTGTTTATTCTATCGAATTTAGAAAATACATGTTTCTGCGACAAAATCGATTTCATACAATTCAATTTTGGTTTAGTTCAAACGCATCGGATTTGGCGCAAATAATTTTTCTTTCACAATTGCAATGGAAAAATAATCAGTTCAAATGATGAAGAATTGCGTTTGTCGTAAACAAGAAACTGCTCACCGCGAAAGTCTCGCATCAATGAGTATCCAACAATATGTTCCTCATAGACCAAATGAATATTTTATTGCATCTATGAATTCTGCTTTCAGTCGAACAGATATTCTTTTGCGGGATATCGTGACGCTGATAAATTTGATAATTACATGCTTTATTCGAAGAAGATATCTGATAATACTTGATAATAATTGATAATAATTGATTTGTATGTACTGAAAAGTAGATAGGAACAAAAAAAAAGTTTAGATAACTGATCTCATTCTTTTTCAATCAAAAACAAAATTAAATCGATATTTGTGTCTTACAATAGCATTTTCTTTTGCGACTATTCAATCGATGAACGAGATCAATCATAGAATTTCTATTTTTTAGAAAATTTTTTTCTCAGTGTAGGTACANGAAAAAAAAACATCGAGATAACGTTCGAAAGATAGTACACCCGGACCTTAAAAATCTAAAAAGAAATTAGAAAGTTTACTTTTGGAGGAAGATTGATGAAATAATTGAAAAATTGAAATTTTTGAAAATTACAAGCATTTCCCATAAACAATTTATAAACAATCAATTTTCCACCATAAAAATCATTTGTTCGAAATCATAACAAATTTATTCGCATTCAGAGTTTTCCTAGAAATCGATTTTATCGATAAATAAATAAGTTTCCGAATGTTTAAACAATTTCAATTGTTTCTTTATAAAGAACGAATTATTATTTATAAAAAAACGAATATTCATGAATTTTTTAAAAATTTTCTCATGCAATTTAATTTACATATTTGATGTTTGATATTAGTTCAATCTATGGTGTGGTCTGTACCAAACTGTAAAAGATACTGGGCCATCCTTAACTATTCCACTCAATTTATGATCGTTCGACTTTTCGACGAGCGACGTACCTCGTCCGCGGTCAATAAAGTCAAAAACCTCTCCGATAAATTACCAGTTTTTTACATGTCGAAAAGATGTAGAACATACACTGAGAAAAGAAAATTCTAAGAAATAGAAATTCTATGATTGATCCAAATCGTTCATCGATTGAATAGTCGCAAAATGCTATTGCAGGACACAAATATCGATTTGAACCAAACCAAAATTGGATTGTATGAAATCGAATTTGTCATAGTATAGTATATTTTGTTTATTCTATCGAATTTAGAAAATACATGTTTCTGCGACAAAATCGATTTCATACAATTCAATTTTGGTTTAGTTCAAACGCATCGGATTTGGCGCAAATAATTTTTCTTTCACAATTGCAATGGAAAAATAATCAGTTCAAATGATGAAGAATTGCGTTTGTCGTAAACAAGAAACTGCTCACCGCGAAAGTCTCGCATCAATGAGTATCCAACAATATGTTCCTCATAGACCAAATGAATATTTTATTGCATCTATGAATTCTGCTTTCAGTCGAACAGATATTCTTTTGCGGGATATCGTGACGCTGATAAATTTGATAATTACATGCTTTATTCGAAGAAGATATCTGATAATACTTGATAATAATTGATAATAATTGATTTGTATGTACTGAAAAGTAGATAGGAACAAAAAAAAAGTTTAGATAACTGATCTCATTCTTTTTCAATCAAAAACAAAATTAAATCGATATTTGTGTCTTACAATAGCATTTTCTTTTGCGACTATTCAATCGATGAACGAGATCAATCATAGAATTTCTATTTTTTAGAAAATTTTTTTCTCAGTGTAGGTACATTTCAGCTATAATACCCCAAGACCTTCAAAATTATCGGATATTTCCCGAATGTTTTGTTGCATAGCAACGAGAGGGATCAGTTTTGCAGATTAAAATCCCGAGCGCGTAGCGCGAGGACATTTTGGAGATATCTCATCAAAATGTGAGGAATATCTGTCAAATGCGTAGAAAACAATTGACAGGCTACAGGGAAATTATCAGACTGATAATTTCCCTGCAGTCGGGGAAATTATCAGTGTGAAACGCGTCACGTGACTCCGAATATTGCACTCTGATTGGTCAAAATCAGAATTGACGAAATTGTCAGTGTTATCTTACTCGCCCAATCCTGATCATACCTGAAGAAGCCGAACTAGAGCATGAAGAGAAGCTGGTCCCAGTCCCAGTAAAGCCTGCAAACTGGCACTGCACCTCGTGAGTCTCTCTTCGGGATCGCTCTGAGGGAAAAATACTGAGGAGGGGATGCCGTTGCCTGCGGGCTCGAACCTGAACCCGACAGACATCAGGAGCTCCTTCCAACCAGTTGCAGGGCCAACTTTGTTCTCGATGCTCCTCTGAGTCGTGTACATAGCGTTCTTCTGGCCCCGATGAATTCGTTGGAGGGACTTTTCTACTAAGTGAAGAGTCACTCTCAAGGCATCACGAGACTGATCTGGACCACTGCGAAGGAGCTCTGCCAGTGCCTGACCCATCAATGCAACCTGGAGAACGAATCGAATTGTTCGCTATGATTAATCTGGGGGCATATGACGCGTTTTGTTTGAAGGAAGAAAAAATTTTCTAGTTTCCAGAAATAGGGGAGAGTGGGGCAAAATGAAACAGTAGGGTAAAATGAACCAGCCAAAAAAGGAGTATTTGAAGCAATTCAAGAAAAAAAAATTTTTTGATTAACTTTTGTTTATTAACTTTTTTTTATTATCGGGAGCACTGATGAGAATAATAATTTTCTATTCGTTTTATAACTCAATTGATTATAATTGAATTGATCAGATTAGGGTGATTACACTTTTCTTTTTTCATTCGATTGAAATTACACACTATAACACCTATTTGTCAATTGCGTCAGAAAAATTTGAAAAAAATCATGAGTATTCAGTGTTTTTCAAATTACATTTTGCATATAATTATTGAATTTTTTAATATTCGTTGTTTATAAAAAAGAAATTAAAATTGTTCAAACTTTCGAAAACCGTATTTTTTCATGCATGAAATCGATTTCTGGTCAAATTCTAAATATGAATAAATATATTACGATTCCGAACAAATCTGTAGTGAAGTGGTAAAGTAGGGTAAGGGCAAATTTCTCTCAAACGTGGTTAAATTTTTCAACTCTCCTAAAAAAGTTCCATTTTTGCACTTATCCTAGTTCACCACTTCGTTACAGAAATGATTTGTACAGTGGAAAATTGTTGGTTTATAAATTATTTATAGAAAATGCTCGAAATGTCCAAAAATTGCAATTTTTTAATTATTTCATCAATCGTCGACCAAAAGTAAACTTTCTAATTTTTTCTAATGTTCTCTAACGGTTCAATATCGAGATTCAAGTTCAGATCTGCAAAGTTTAAATGATCAAATCATTGTAAAATTTCTAGAAACTTAAGGTCAAATGGGGTTCAAATGAAAACTCTTTTTGTAGTCCATGTTTGACTACGAAAGTAGAAAAGCATTTCACTGGAGAAAAAATAGCCAAAGTACTTGGATATTCTTAATGACGCTCATTTTATTTTCAACCTATTGAATGTTAAAGCTAAAAACTTCATATTTGTTTTTTTTCTAATGGAAAAAATTATAAATTGTAAAAATAATTACCTTGTTGGATAATCGAGCATCACCACCGATAAGCAGCCACCCAGCCCAGTTGGCAGGATGTGCAAAGTGTCTGGTATGCTGCACCGTCTGCATGGCCTCAGCGAGGGCTCTCGAGGCCCGTGCACCCTGCAGGAGAGCACTGTAAAATGCTCTCAGTAAAATACTCCCTGCTGTCGATGGCACAGGCCACATGGCCACGAGGACACACTGTGCCCCAGCGTTCAACAGACTCTTCACCAGTGCCTGGACCCCATCAGGGGTAACGTTCGACGTGTCGTCGTTGCTCCAGCAGTGTCCACTGGAGAGCACAACTAGACGTGCGGTCAGTCTTAATCTCGTGATGTCGGATGAGGATATTAGGTACTCTGGGGGATCCGAGGACTCCTCGTTCTGGTCTGGGGAGAGAGCCAGGGAGGACGAGTTCCAGAGGATTGGAGTCGTCAGATGGACGCATTCGGCGTCTGGGAGGGAACGGTAGACCGATGATTTTGTTGCTTCAGCACCTAGAAATACGAATACAATTTTCTTCATACTAGTAGTTTTCTTCTTTTTTTTCATGGTAAAATCCATTTTTAGACGATGAATCTTCGAGAATTCTAGACTATTCTGAAATTTTTGCGAAGCACTTAAGGAGTAAATCTATCATGAAAGGGTCTCTCGTAAACTCTGGAATTAAGTGAGAAGTTTTTTGCAACTCTAGTCAAGTTTTTTGCAATTCTCTTCACACATCGTGATGAAAAATAGGGTTCGACACTCGTGAGAAAAATGTTCTTTGACCCTTGGCAGCGTAGCACTTTTGCACTTTCACTTCGGTTATTTAATAATCGTTGACAAGAAATGAATCCTAACATATGATAGCAATCTTGTAACAATCTTGCAATTTTGTAACGTGGGGACAAAATATTTCTTGATAAACTTCCCTCTATAAGGGATATTTTCATTATGGAAAGTCACTCTTGAAAGCAGAGCAATTATTCATGCTTGAGACATTCAATTGGAATCAAATATTTATTTTTTTGGTAATTTTCAACTCGCAATTTTTTCAGCCCAAGCAAGACTTGTTTCAAAACTTGTTCGTTTTTCTTTCGGGGTAGAGAATTCCAGAATCTTTTGGGATATACTAGGAAGTGTCAGCAAAGTTGGGAAAATCAAAGAATTTTCTAGACAACTCCTGAATTTCTTAGAATATTCTATACAGGTCTGAATCTGTCTACAATTTTCTAGAACTTGACGTAATTTTCGTGAAAAAAGAATATCAAAGAGGATTTTCCAGATGATTTGCAGATTCTGATAGACCGTTTTATAATATTCTAGAACATTTCATGATTTTCCGGAGAACTAGTCATCTCAAATTATATAAAGTATGACGTATGATAGAAAACGAATGGATGTCTGATAAAGGAGTACTGAAATTGAAATTTAAAAAATTTCAAGAATTTCAATTTTTTTTAAATGCAGAAATAAAATTGATTTTCACATGCTCTTTTTATTTGAATCTATTTTTTGAAGAAATTGATATCTGTAGTGAAGTGCTAAAATGGGATAAGTGCAAATTTTTTGAAAATGTTTCTATTGCTTGATTCGAAAATTCTCTCAAACGTAGTCAAATTTTTCAACTCTCCTTAAAAAGTTCCATTTTTGCACTTATCCTAGTTTACCATTTCGCTACAGATATAATACTTTCAAGTAAAATCTTTCCAATAGTAATGATTGAAATTTTGGTTTACACAAAAAAACATTTACTCTGATGAGAAATATATAGAGTTCAAGCCGTTGGCGACATATTTACGTAAGGATTTTCTACTCATTATCCTTGCAATTTTAGTCTGTGCATATGTCCCAAGGAGGAGTATTGTTGAATCCTTATGGAAGCGGTTGAATTAACCAAACGCTTTTGGTAAGTTAAACTAGCCTCTGCTGGAATTCGACTCATTAATTAAAGGATACAAACTAAAAAACTAAAACCATTTATTTATTTCCACAAAAACTGGTTTTAGAAGCAATAACGTCGAGAATAATGTCGTTTTACGTCAAAACAAGATAATACTTCACCCTTCACAAAAAAGTCATCCGCCTTTCCTCCTGAATAAAAAAAACCAGGGGATTACCAAGAAATAATGAAGAGAATTATCTCATACCGTCTCAAAACAAGATAATCCTCATTTTCACAACGTTGTTAGCGAATGAAAGAATGAGAGAGAAAGAATTTGAGTGTAAGCGAGATAAATAGAGGCGTGCAAGGATCGAGAGTGTGAGAGTGAGATGGAGGTGAGTGTAGAGAGCACTGGAATATTCTGGAAATACGGAAAGTATATATAGGGGAGAGAACAGAGGGAGCGCGAGTTCGAGAGTGATCAGTTCGGTTTGAGAGTGGTTTGAGAACAGTACGAGTTGAGACGAGTCAAGAGAGAGAGAGTTGAGAAGAGAAAGTCGAATCCGATTGAAATGTTTTGTATCTTTATCTTTAATTAATAAACGTTATATTTCTATCATTTAAAGAAAAAAAAAGGAAGAAGTGTGTTGAGTTCATTTTAATTTCTAACAACGTCTCTTGCCTTTTCATAAACCCTTACCAGTCAGCGGTCGAGTCTCCAGCAGTTCCGCGACGATTCCCGCCTCCGTCTCCGCGGAGCTGGCGCTCTCCGGCCAGCCATTCTCCTCCCTCACCTCCTCCGGCAAAAGGGGATTTCCCACAACGAGCGCGGCAACAGTGGCGCCACCCTCGGGCATCGGTGTTCTCGTCCTCCTCCGCAGGGCCGCCAACGACGGTACCACCAGCAGCGAGAACCTCTCGCAGAGATAGTCCTCCCCAGGTCCGGACTGCAAAGCAGGCAGCGGTGCCAGATACAGCGCCTTCTCCACGACCAGAATGAGCTCCTTCCTGACAGGCGGCAGCAGATCCTCGAAAGGTCCCAGCAGCAGATCATAGAGCGCCTGGACACACCCGGGGGCCTGCCAGACCGGTCCCTTCCCCGCGCGCCCCCACCTGGCGCTCCCCGCCCTGGACGAAGCGGACCCAACACTGAACAGCGAGCTCAAGCTGTAGGAGCTGGCATTAAGATGTCCCCTCATCGGGATCTTGGTGCTCTCATCGACAACCTCCGAAGACTCCCCCAACAGAGCCTCCCTCGCCACAATCACCTGCTTCTCGAGGCTCACCCCCTCCTCCAACGCAGTCGAGTGAAACCTCAGCAATCCCCTGCTCGGCGCAAGACACCAGGCATGCAGCTCCCCCCCCACTTCACTATAATACAACACAATCCCCCTCTGCCTGTCCACAATCTCCGAATAATGAGTCGCATCCTCGATATGATTGATCGACTGATAGCTCTTGGTCCTCCTGGACCTCTCCGCCCAGTTGAGTGCCTCCTCCGCCCTATTAAGCTCCACCAAGACCTTCTGAAGCGTCCCATAAGTCTCGTTCAACAGCTCCGCATGGCCCTGCACCATCAGACCCCCCTCAAGCGACTCAAGAATATTAGCCGCCTTCTCCAGCTGTTCAACGCCCACCGAGGGTTCCCCGGCCTGCCAGTGGACGAGCCCCAGCCGATGCCGGAGTTTGGCGACCTCCTCGCGCCTGCCGAGTCCCTCGGACAAGGACAGCCCAGACTGCAGATAGCTGAGCGCCCTGGCGAGGTCTCCCCGAAGATGATGCAGCCTCCCGAGGGATGAGAAAGCCGCTGCTCGGGCCGGCTGATCCCCCGCGGCAGCTGCCAGACTCAGAGACTGCTCCTGCAGCCTGATCGCCTCGTCGATCTGCCCCAGAGCTTCCTCAGTCGCTCCCAGATTGGCGCAGGCTCGCGCCTGCAGACCGGCCGCATCGAGTTCCTCGGCGATGGTCAGTTCCAGCTGGTGATGTCTCAAGGCGCTCGTTGGGTCGTTCATCAACAGGTGAACGGCTCCCAGGCCGCTGGCGGCCTCGGCCTCCCCCGCCTTGTCCCCGAGGGCTCTCGCCAGCGCGAGCTGATGGGTCAGACAGCTGACGGCTTGCTCGTGGTTCCCCAGGGCCGCGTGGATCCGCCCCAGATCCCCATAAGCCGCGCCCCTCGACTCCGTGCTGTCGACCTCGTGTGCGGCCACCAGACGCTTCTCGAAGCAGACTAGGGCCTCCCCGAGGTTCCCCGAGGCCTCCCGGGCCCGCCCGAGCCCTCTGTACGCCCTCTCCTGGTCCCGAACGCTCCTCAGTTTGACCGCCGCTGCCAACTGCTGCTCGTGACATTTGACGGCCTCCTCGGGGTCCCCGAGGGCCTCGTAGCAGTCCCCCAGGTTCCCCAGCGCCCTCGCCTTGTCCAGGAGGGCGGTGGCTGTCGTCAAGGGCTCCAGGGTCGCCAGCTGCTGCTCGAAGTAGCCGATGGCGTCCTCGTAATGCGCCATGTTCAGTCGGGCTATCCCCAGGTTGCCCAGGGCCTGCGCCTCGACCCCGGAGTCTCCGAGCTCCCTAGCCCTGTCCAACTGCTCCTGATAACACTTTACCGCGTGGGTGTACTGACCCAGGTCCATGTGCACCGCCCCGAGGTTCCCGTGGGCTCGACACTCCCCTCGGAGGTCACCGGACTCCTGTCGCAGGGTTAATTCCTGCGTGTGAAAACCCAGCGATTTGTCCAGGTTTCGGATCGTTCGGTGGGCGATCCCCAGCGCTCCGTAGGCTGCCGCCTCCAGGGAACGGTCCACCGACTGCCGGGCGAGGTTCAACTGACGCTGGTGCATTTTCACCGCTTCTTCGGTCTCGCCGAGGCGAAGGAGGCAGTCCCCGATGTTACCCAGGGCTCGGAATTTACCCGCCAAGTGCTTCATCATGTGGGCTATTGCTAGGTAATACTTCTGGCACTCCAGGGCTGTGTCTAGGTTGCCCAGCGCCAGGTGGGCCAGCCCCAGGTTGCAGTAGGCTCGACCCATCCCCGATTTGTCCTGGAGGTCTTTCGCTAGGGCTAGGTCTTGGTCGTAATAGCGGACTGCTTCGCGGTGGTTGCCCAGGCAATAGTGCGCGTAACCCAGGAAGTGGCAGGCTTTGCCTTCGCCCTCCACGTCGTGGAGCTCTTGGGAGAGCATCAGGTAGTTCTCGTAGTAGGGGACTGCCTCCTCGAAGCGGCCGCGGGAGGACAAGCAGTTGGCGAGGTTGAGGAGGGCGCACGCCTCGCCCGCTGCGTCCTTGAGCTCGCGGGCTATCGAGAGGTGCGCGCGGTAGTGGCGCAGGGCTGTCTCGTGGCCCTGGACCGCTTGGTAGGCCACCGCCAGGTTGCCGTGGGTCGAGGCCTCCGAGCTACGGTCGTTCACCTCCTTGGAGATGGTGAGCTCCTGCTTGTGGTATTTTATGGCCTGCTCGTAGTAGCCCATCGCGTTGTACGCGTTACCGATGTTGCCGTAGGCCTTGCCCATGCCTGCTCGGTCACCCAGAGATCTGAGGGAGAGGGGGCATTAGAATTGGCGGGAGATTGGGGGGAGGGTCGCCAGCGTCGGGCAGGAGTGAGCGGACAATTATTAACTTTTTTGCTGATAATTTCAGCAGCGAAGTGGTAAAAGGAGATAAGTCAATTTTGACTATTGACCAGTTTTCAATCAATATCTCGGAATCTAAGGGAGATAGCAAAATTTTTGTTATGACCTTTTTTGTTGATCCAATTGAGTGCTACAACAAATGTATGTTTGGTGAGGAACTAGTTTTAGGGTGGATGTGGGATGAAATGTGGAGGGAGATGTTGGGAAAATTACGGTAGGCGTGTTATAAAAAATCTCAATATATTTTCGTGGGATCGAACCACTTGTCACTATTGCCGTACACTCCTTGGTATAATTAATGTTGAATGTCTAATTTTCACTGATAATTGTCTTTCACTTTATCTCGTTGAATCACTGAAATTACTGAACTTAATCAACAAGTTGATGTACTGAGCAAAATATTAAATTTAGAATACTGATGAGTAACTGACTCTACTCTATCATTATCGTGACGATACAGAAAAGCAACTGCAACTTGGGGGTTTCGCGATCCCCTGACCGCTCCACCCGAAGGTTCCCGATGGTGCTCGACGATAATCGGTAGGACCGACCGTTTAGTTGATTGCTGCCTTTCAAACAATGTAATTACGAAAGTTTCGCTATCTCCCTTAGATTCAGAAATATTCCTCAAAAACTCAACTAGGAGATAAGTCGACTTATCTCCGTTTACCACTTCACTACTGATTTCAGCATTTTTAAATTCCCGACGTTGAGGGGAGGAAGTTATCCTCTGAAGGGGTAACGGAAGCCGTCGCAAAAGTTTATTTTTTCAACCCATTTTTCTCCGATTGTGTCCAATATAAATGGCTGAAATTTTCACCAAGTATTGAGGGGAGACTAAGTGTTGTCCCCCATCTATTATTTTTCAGATTTTTCGCAAAAAAAATGCAGAAAACTTAACGACACTGCTGATGCTAAAAATAATAGATGGACGACAACGCTTAGACTCCCCTCAATACTTGGTGAAAATTTCGGTCATTTATATTAGACACAATCGGAGAAAAAATGGGTTGAAAAAACAAACTTTTGCGACGGCTTCCGTTACCCCTTAAATACGACGCCTAGGGATGGACCCTTTTCGCTAAAATTCACGTTTTTTTTTAATTTTTCTGGTAAATTATTGATCGTATTGACGCGAAATAATAGACCGTTTTTGCATTTTATTATTATTGACTGACTCACGAAGTTTCATGGTAGTGCAATCATTTTTCTGCATTTTTTCTAAAGTTTTGTGAATTTCCGAAAAGTTTAAGAAAAACGCAGGAAAATGATTGCACGATTGCGGTAATAAAACGCGGTCGATTGCGATAAAACACAAAAACGGTATATTTTTTTACGATAATCCGATCAACAATTTACCAGAAAAATTTAAAAAATGTGAATTTTGGCGAAAAGGGTGTACTACATCCTTAATCAAAAACATCGATTTTTCATGCCCAAACAACGATGTTTTTCATTCGACATTTTGAACGGCCGATTAATCAATTTGCGATTCTTTTTTCCAAACATCGATGTTTCTGACCAAGCTAACCAAATTTTTCATTTTTTTGTCGAAAAATAATGTTGATTGACTGACAATAAACAAAATAATAATTTATCCGCAATAAGAGGTAATTATTTTCTACAGTATGTATGTTATAAATGATAAGTGAACAAGTCCAGTCTATTGTTTTTTTAAATTGAAATTTTTTAATTTTTTTATCATTTTAATTTTTAACAATTATTGCAGCTGACGGAAAATATTCAATCGATGTTTTTCCTGAAAAAAGTAAATTCTTCGATAAACAATGTTTTTTAAAACATCGCCCATCCGTAACGACGGCCATATCGGCCGGCGACCTCCCGACAACTCGAATTCGCTCTTCAATACGCGACAACTTCTATACCGATGATCAACAGATTATTAACTAAAATTGAATGATAATTTTGAGCTTTCATCAAAATGTTTATACAGATTTTTCGGGAATTTTTAACCCTTCATTACTCGCGTCCACAGCACTGCGCCGGGGAAATTTCATTTTTTAGTATAACTTCCGAAAGAACTCATTAAAAAAAATGCGAAATTTTGTATACCTCACTGATTTTATCCAAAAGTATATTGTGCTTTCTCTAACCACGGCCGAAGCTCCTGATTAGAGAAAATTCACTCCTATGCTAATTGGAAAACAAAAATACGGCACCGTGCCGCGACGCGATTGATCGTGTGATTGATCCTTGGTCGATGGTCAGTCGATCGATCGTTGGTCAACGGTTAGTCGATCGATGGTTGATCGATAGTCGATTTTTGGTCAACAGTTGGTCGATCACCGGTCGATCGTTAATTATTGGTCGACTGCCAGTCGATCGATGCTCGATCGTCAATTATTGTTCGTTTGTCAGTCGATCGTTAGTCGATCAATGGTCAAACGGAAAATACGATCATCAGATGATGATTGTGGATGGTCAAATGGTTAATACGAATTTGTATGCCTCACTGATTTTATCTAAAAACATATTCTGCTTTTTTTTAACCATGGCCAAAGCCCCTGATTAGAGAAAATTCACTCGTATGCTAACTGGCAATCAAAAATAGGGCACGGTGCCGCGACGCGATTGATCCTTGGTCGATGGTCGATTGTTGGTCAACGGTAAGTCGATCGACGGTTGATCGTTAGTCGATTGTTGGTCAACGGTTAGTCAATCGCCGATCGATCATTAATTATTGGTCGATTGCTAATAATTTTTTTACTTGTGTGGTTGGTCAGTCCTCGCCTACGGCTCGGAAGAAGCCAACGCCGCACGAGTAAAAAACCCCATCGCAACAGGCCGGAAAAATACTATTTTTCTCCCAGAATTAAGGATACAATATTGAAAAAAAATACAAGAATTTTCCAGATACTTCAATTGACGAATTCAATTTTTCTCACATTTTTCCGGTCAACCAGTCGATGGCAGGGTGAATAAAACGATTCCACCACTACATATTACTGGCATGTGATGTTATTGCACGTTCCATCACAAAAACTCATCACACGACATTTCATCACACGCCAATTCATCACAGGAACAATTCATCACAAGAACAATTCATTACAACATTATTTATCACAAAACAATTCATTACAACCGAATTTAATATGGCAAAAACTTCAAAAAACCCACAACGTATTTCCATTTTCAAATAACTACTCTCTATTTTCAAATGACAACTCACACCGAGATGTGATCCGTTTATGATAACAAGTCCTCATCGTTTGTCCGTACATTTCCCCGCAATGAAACGATATATTCATCCAACGTAAATGAATAGTGGGGGTCAATCACACGGATTTAAAATTAATCCACACAAATTCAATTTAAAATTTGTCTGTGTATTTTCTCTGTTTTCGATAGGCTCCAATAAAACAAACATCTCGTTTCGTATTTACACAATAAAACTGGCTTTCTTGCTCATTGATAAATTCACAAACAATCGCATTTGAAACTCAATAGCATGTTAAAAAGGTTAGTAATAAACTAAACCAGTAATAAAACTACGAAATGATGAAATAGAATGTAATGAAATCAGTAGCGAAGCGGTAAACCGGATTAAGTCGATTTGGACAATTGGCCAGTTTTTAACGAATATCTGGGAATCTAAAAGAGGTAGAAAAATTTTTGTCACGACCTTTTTTGTAGAGCCAACTGAGGGTTATAAAAAAGGTAATGAGCAAAATTTTGTTAGCTCTCTTAGATTCCGAGGTATTTGTCAAAAAATGGCCAAAAATCAAAATCGACTTAACCCGGTTTACCGCTTCGCTACTGCAATGAAATGTGATGAATTGCCCAGTAATCAAATGGAATGATGAGTTGTACCGTAATATGTAGTGGTGATACCGAATAAAACGACGTGTTGCGGCAATTCCCTCGCATAGTGACCAGTCTAGGGTTAATAATAAACGATAGAACCTGCTGATTGCGTATGATACAATAAACGAATTACTTACCTCGCTATTCCCAAATGCGCCTGATGGAGTTTCAACGCAGCATCATGTTCCCCCAGCAGTTGATAAACAATCCCCAAATTACTGCAGGCCCTTCCCTCAGCCACTTTGTCCTTGGTCGAGAGTGCAACGTCAAGCTGTCTCTGGTGCCACAGCTTTGCCTGCTGCAGATCCCCAGCACACCTAGCAGCATGTCCGAGCCCAGCATACGCTCTAGTCTCGATGGCTCTGTCCCCCAGCTCCTGCGCGATCTTGAGGACATTTTCGTGGTAAGCCATGGCTTGAGAGAAATTTCTCCTGTAATGATGTGAGGACCCCAAGTTACTGAATGCCCTGGCCTCCTCCACCCTGTCCCCCAGCCTCCTGGCGATCCTCAGGTGCTGCGTGTGACAATCCACAGCACTCTCGAACTCCCCCATCGCCAGATAAACAGCGCCGACGTTGCCGATCTCCCTAGCTTCTTGAAGACGATCTCCTATTTGTTTCACGAGTTGCACACACTGTTTGTGGGATGCTAGGGCATTGGGGAGATCTCCAATGGCTGTGTAAACGTGACCGAGACTCGTGAGAGCTGATGCCGCCGCTTGAGCGTCCTTGCATTTCATGGCGAGAACCAACTGGTACCTGTGGGAATATTGAATATTAGTTATGAAATGTTTTGAGTTTAAAGGGCGATTTTCATAGATGCCCTAGACCCTTCACCATACACTGAGAAAAAAAAATTCTAAGAAATGGAAATTCTATGGTTGATCCAAATCGTTCATCGATTGAATAGTCGCAAACGAAAATGCTATTGTAAGACACAAATATCGATTTAATTTTGTTTTCGATTGAAAAAGAATGAGATCAGTTATCTAAACTTTTTTTTGCTACTATCTATTTTTCAGTACATACAAATCAATGTCTGTATTATCAAATATCTTCTTCGAATAAAGCATGTAAATTATCCAATTTATCAGCGTCACGATATCCCGCAAAAGAACAATGTTTTTTTTTCATAAATTACGCATAAGTAAACCGTAAAATATTTTTTTATTAAGATTGTAACTTACGATTTCTTAAGTGTGAAATACGCTTAGTGAAATGTAAAAGACGCTTTGTTTAGAGGGTAATTTATGTTTTTTTTTGCAATTTATTGGGCCTCTAATGCAGTATTATTGAAAAACCCGAAAAAAGTGCGGTGCGGTGGTTATAGTGCTACCAAGGGTTTTGAAGAAGACAAAAGTTCTATTCCTTTGTATTAAGCATTCGTTCTATGATAAATATGCCAATGAGCTCGATCACCGAATGTGTTCGAACACTGGTCGGTTCACTTTAATTGGACGATTCAGGAAATTAGGGAACTTATGAAAGGAGTAGAGTCCGAGAATTAAAAATAACGATTATGTATTGGAACTATCCGACAGAAGCTCATTTCCAGACAAGAACATGGCCTATAAAGAATGTCGCTTCATATTTTGTTTAAGGGGAAACGGAACCCCTGTGTCTATATGAACTTTTATAATTGTGTTTTCTTCTTGCAATTATTATTTCTTATTCATTAAACTACTTGATTGACTCAACAATGCGATAATTGAGTCGATAAAGTAGTTTCATAGATAGAAAATAATAATTGTAGGAGAAAACACAATTCTAAGATTTGATATAGACAAAGGGGATCCGTCTTCCCTTAAGGATTTTCCGAAAATGAACATGTGACGTGTGGAGATATCCAGACGTCTATTTTGTTCAATTTATATTTTCTGATGAAAATAAGGCAAACTGGGCTGACAAAATGCTGGGCAGTCCCACGGTGACACTTGAGTCCAGCTTCTCAGAATGGAGCTGTTTGACTGTTGTAGCCATTGCCAGTGATGACATATGGGCGTGTTAGTTATGAAAAACCGTGAGGATGCTAATTAAGATTTTCGAGCTAGTAACGATATTCAAGCTCTAAATCAAAGCAGAGTACGGGAGGAGTTGGACTTGAACGGATGTCCACTTCTCGCCAAAAATCTTAGCACCGCGCGCGATACCGAACCCATTATTACTTTGATTTTATATTGAATTATTAGTTTCAGTTTATTATATTCATCCATTTAATAATCGGTGTTTGATTATTGGGACGACACCCTTATCAATCCTTTCCTGAACTTCCCCAAATGGACGAATCCCCCGTGAGCTGGTACCGAGACTAACTAGGCATAGTCTTCAAGTCGAAAGGCGACTGATTAAGGGAGGACGAAAACCTCCCACGTCACAAACAGAATTTGGGTTTAAAAAACCAACGAAATGAAATTCTTGTAGAATTAAGCTCTCAGGCCAATAGTAGAATTCGTACAAAAATCTGTGCAGATTCTACCATCAAGAATATATCCAAAACGAACAGCTTCAAACGAGAATATTGCAGGCAAGTCACAAGAAAGTTTATTCAACCATAGAGAATGTTTATTCAACCATAGCGTGGAATGCCTCTCATGCGGTCATTATCGAGTGACAGAAGGCCACCGTTTCCTCGAAATTTTCTAACAATTTCCTGCTCAAAGTCATTAACATTTTTCGAACTCAGAGCATCGACCTTCATCATCGTCTCCTGGAGAATAACGTACTTCCATTTGTTAGAATATCGATAATTTTTGGCAGAAAATTTGTTCAAAAATTTAGAAAATTAGTGGCTTTCGTCACTCCTTAACACTCCGTTGGTCGCGCACCGCACTTTTTCCGATTTTTTAAATTACAGTGTAGTAGAGCCTCAGCAAAATTTGAAAAAATTTGACATCTCATTTTGAAGTGTCTAGAAGCCCTACCAATGAAAATATCCGCCAAAAATATCATAAGTAGTTGGATTTTCAAATTTTTATTCCGAAACTCCGGGCCGTGCACCGTGTATAAGGCGAATTTTCAGAAAAACACGGCAACTTTGAGCTTGAATATATAATTAAGAGTAACACTGAACATAAAAAATCTTACAGAACTTCTTCAAGTATACGATCTAGATCATTCGTGATTTTTTTCTGATTTTTCCTAGATCTTTCAAATTTATCATTCTGTCGATTTATGCTGGCGCGGCGCAGTGCTTACAGCAAAATCAACGGTGTTCGTAACTTTTGCGCGACCAACGAAGTGTTAATGAAAAAGGATCAATTATACAGAGAAAAAAAACTTCTGGTGTCCAGTAAAAGCCCCTGGTACTAAAATCTAAAGGCAAAAAGTACTGGATTCTAGTAAAATTTCTCTGAGAGTGAGAGAAAAAGGTCTAGTTCACAGTATTTTTTACTGAAATTAAAAGTACCAGCATCCATGATACTTAAATTAAGGCACTTTCATTCTGAGACCCAGTAGCTTGGTTTCTTAAAATAAGAACCGTTGAGTACTGAAATAAAAAACCCGGAGGTTCTTAACTACTCAAATCGGCGCCCATATCGCGCGGTGTGTCCTCATCAGCCGGCGTCTCCCGTCTACTCGAATTTGCTGTTCAATACGCAGCAATTTCTACACTGATGATCAAAAAATTGTCATTAAAAATTTAATGATAATCTTGAATTTCACCAATAAGTTGTTCAATTACGGTATTCCTTTATACAGATTTTTTCGGAATTTTTAAGACTAATCTCAGTTCGGTAGCACCAACGATTGCCAAAATCGGCCATTGTCAGAAATTTGTTAATAACAAATCAGTAATTCATTGAATCCAAATTTTGATTGCGCCATTCGACAAAGCAATACATAGAGTATGTTCGGTAAAAATTGCAGAATTGTTTATGAAGATTAGTTCGATGAACGAGAGGTTTGAATATGCATCTGACATCGAATTCAGTTCCGTATTGTTTATGTATTGAAGAAAAGTATTAAAAATACCTTTAAAAAAATCGAGTCGCACTGTGTTAATAATTTTATCTATTTCATGGGGAAATTTTTGGAATTTCGATATCTACAATAGTACGAAAGATAATGAATTTTTATTAATCACAGAAAGAGTCTGTATGACATATAGACGCCGGCCGGTAGAACAACCTCTCGGGTCTATGTGGCATTGAGGTCGTACTTGAGGGGTTAAAGTAGTATGGTCACTCTCCAAAGTGATCGTTGAGTGTGCGTCAAGAAAATCCAAAAAAATTAATCAAAAACTATGATTTATAATTGAAAATTCTCTTTGTGAATTATAAAATTTAGGAAGATAAGAATTAATCGATTATTTTTATTATTTTTCACTTATTAGTCAAATAATGTACCTTCTTTGACTGGCGTCGTTTTATGTTTGGCAACGCTGTAACTTAACAGCGTAGGGAAAACGAGATTTGAATGCCCGCTTGTCCCGACTCCACTAACGCGTTGTTGCCGCATCTACTCGACACGCAATTTCTGAACACCGAGGAGCAGCNAAAAACTATGATTTATAATTGAAAATTCTCTTTGTGAATTATAAAATTTAGGAAGATAAGAATTAATCGATTATTTTTATTATTTTTCACTTATTAGTCAAATAATGTACCTTCTTTGACTGGCGTCGTTTTATGTTTGGCAACGCTGTAACTTAACAGCGTAGGGAAAACGAGATTTGAATGCCCGCTTGTCCCCACTCCACTAACGCGTTGTTGCCGCATCTACTCGACACGCAATTTCTGAACACCGAGGAGCAGCAATTATTTATAACTAAAGTCCCAAACGGTCAATAATTTTCATCGATGGTCGTAAATTTTCGTTTTTTTTCCCCATTTTTGGGATTTTTTTTATAATTTAATCTTGGATTTATCATAAAAACCACCCAAAAATGTGATTTGCCCATAAGCCTCTGTATTAAAATCTAGTTTTTCATTAATTCTTATTAACCATACTAAACGATCAATGTACCACAAATTGCACCAGGAGGTTTTTATTGATATTAACTTTCATAAAAAAATTATTTCATATTTTTATCTTGGAAATCGATGCGTGACCATACTACTTTAAAACGAGAACCGTTGAGTACTGGAATCAAAAACCCTGAGGTTCTTAAAATAAGAACTATTGGGTCCTGGAATCGTCAACCCTAAGGTCTTTAAAACAAAACCTTGAGGTTCTTTGATCGACATCCTTATCTCCCCGAATTATCTTCATTAATTGTGGTGTGACATCTCTGAGGGGCTGGTCACCTCCCAATCGAGTGACTCAGTGATTTCCAGAATCAGCTAATTTCCGGTGATTTCTGTGATTTCTCGAATGATTTTTGTGATTTCTCAATCAGCATTAGAAATCATGATTTCTTTTGATTACTTGTGATTTCCATGATTTCTAGTAGATTCCAATGATTTCTGGATTTCAAGAAATCACTGGAGAAATCATCATTTCGGGACCAGAGTGGAGCATCTGTCGATAATGGCAGTTTTCGACATGACGTTCCAATACGTAAGGATGTCAAAAACTTCATAGCGTCAGATTTCGGAATTGGATGATGTCGAACGCACCAATACCATAACAAAAATTGTATAGTTAAAACTGCAAAATCAATTTCGATTTTACACTTATCGATGATTTCCAATGATTTCGTAAATCACCTGAATTTCTTTATGATTTCTATTGATTTCCAGAAATTTTTAGAAATTACTACCGAAAATGGAAATCACCTGATTTCCATTGATTTCTGGTGATTTCTTCCTTTATTTCCAGTCGAGTGGTTCAGTGATTTCCTAAGTGAGCCCCTCGGACATCTCAAATTAGACAACTCCCTCTCCATTCAATCACGAATCGTCACAAATTGCAGAATCTCCTCCCCTCCTCAATCGCGTGACGCAATATTTGAATGCCTCCAATTTGAATGGCTTATTTTAAGAACCCCGGGTTGATTTCAGTACCGTTGTTGCAGGAAACCAGGAACTTTTTCTCTCTTTGTAATTACGACACGAATGTCGACGTTTCATCTTCATTCAGAGTCCTCATTAAAACGAACCCACTCTATCATGAAGGCTTCGAAAGGAGCCGAAAGGTCGACATTCACATGATAATTAGTCGATGTTTTTCAAGTAAAGACCGGAAACCATAATAAACCACATTCTCATGAGATTATGATTATAAAATGAAGATTAAGATTCTTTGTAGTCCAAAATATTTCCAAGAAAATATGTCCACAGGGAATTCCAATTAGTTTACCAGCCATTGGTCAGATCGGACGATTCCAGCTGATTCCGCAAAAACCTCAAGAACCACTTCATTCGGGGAAAAAATTGAGAAATTGATTAAGTTTATTACACTCATTTCTTCCCGATGCAACGACCGCTACCTATGATTCGAAATTTGAAAATAACTACACAGTGAGCAATTTTTTATAAAAATTATCGTACCGTTCTATAAAAGTGTATCATGAGTCATCGTTTCCTCATTTCTATCCCGAAATTTAGTAAAAATTAATATATAATTAATTTTATTGTACGTTAGAGAAATTTTATCCTGACGCATAATAAATTTTACCCTTCCAATCCAATAATTTTTATGTAGATAACCACGAAAATTTTACCCTACCGGTACAGTAATTTTTAATCTACCGGCACGGTAATTTTTATTTTTATCAGGATAAAATTTCTCTAACATAGAATAAAATTTAATCACCATATATTAATGTTTACTAAATCTCAGGATAGCAATGAGTCGCCTGCGGCTCGTGCTATAAACCTCCCACGAGCCCAAAAACACTTTCCCGCAATCGTATCGAAATATACTATTTCTGTACTGCTTCTCACGATTTCTCGTCTGGGAATTGGTATTACATACTTCCCAAACTCGAAAACTTGAAAATCACTACAGAAAAATATTGTTCCTGGGCTGTTGCGATGGGGTTTTTTTACTCGTGTGGTTGGCCAGTCCTCGCCTACGGCTCGGAGGCCAGCGCCACACGAGTAAAAAACCCCATCGCAACAGGCCGGAAATAGTATATTTCAGCACGTGTGGGGCAATATCGTCTTTAACGTGTGTGGGGTTTACAGCATGAGCCGAAGGCGAGTGATGTAACCACACACGTTAAGGACGAAATTTCCCAACAAGTACTGAACAAAATTTTATGTCACGAAGCCTGAAACCGGCTGAATTAGACACGAGACGCGAAGCGTCGAGTGTGTAATCCAACGGGTTTCAGGCATGAGTGGCATAAATACTATTTTGTGATACTTGCTATTGGATTATGTGTAGGAATACTCAATAAAAACACATTAGTTTTATTCTTCAAAGTAAAACTCTTTAATGATCGCACGCAGAAGGTATATCTTTCTCCAACGAAGTCTCTAGGACGACTAACTAAAAGTCATGAGAGTTTTCACTCTCTGGACCCATTTGACAAAAGGCCCTTGTTTCAATTTTCTTCAGCCTCTCCTTTGTGACTCACCATGAGGACTGTTTTTCTTCACGTCTCTATTTTCTAAGAAAAGCCATAAATGTCACCCTGAGTGTTTGGGTGGAAAAGAGAAAATGTTTAACTAAACTAAGAAATTAATTTTTGTATTCAGGCATGAATTCCAACACTTGCCGAGTTCACTGTTCGGAACGGTGAGGATTCGGAGCCGAAGGCGAGTGATATAATTCCACGAGTCTAAAAACACTTTTCCCGCAAGTATCGAATCTCGAATCATATTTTTCATCACAATGTGTGAGAAGCGGGATTTTGCGCACGCGGAGCGTGCATGCGAAAAACTCGTTCTTTACGCACTTGGAACACAATATACTATTTTGTGATACCTGCCTAAAAAATACACTTTTCAGAACGGCTTAGGGTGCGTAAAGCGGTTGTTTTCCGCACAGCGTGCATAAACTGAATTCTCGAAATTCACCTTGCGCACGCTCTTGAACTTTACGCACTCGTGCCCTAAAACAACCACTTTACCTCCACTATTGTTCCGAACAGTTAAATCGACAGGTATCACAAAAAATAGGGTGTGTTACATGTGCGTGTGAAAAAGTAGATCTTTGCGCACTAGTGACACAATATAGTATGTCGTCCCTAGGCCGAAAGAAATTTTTTTGTGATATTTTCTAAAAAGTGCAGTTTTCGAAACTGTTTAGTCGCTTCGCTTCACCCCCTCGAACATCATTTTTCATCACTTGTGCGTAAAGTGAAATTTTAAGGAGAGTTTGCAATAAACGAGCGTCAATCGTTTGCGTCACGTCGCTAAGGTAATTAGAATATCTATAATACTCATTGCAAGGCGAATATGAGTTCGTAGTCCGAGCCGTAGACAAGAGCTGCAATCATATGAGCTAGAAGCGGAAACTACTTCAATTTTTTAGGACCTTCAATTGAAAAAGTCTATTTTTTTAATTTCCTCGATTAACCAGTCAATGACAATTAAAGAAAAACAAGGCGCTGCAGCGGTTCCCTCATATGATGGCCAATCTAGGGTTAAAAAAATCGATTTGAACATTAATTCAAATAGCAGTTGCAGAGACAAGCACCTCAATATCTCGGAAATTAGAATCGAAAAAATAGGCCTTTTTCATGCAAACGTCCACATTCATCTAATTGTCCTTTCCGGACGTTTCACTAGGACTAGCTATTAGGAATGGGCGATGTTTTAAAAAACATCGATTATCCAAGAATTGATGTTTTTCACAAACATCGATGTTGTGAATCGATTTTTCGGGAAAAAACATCGCTTATTTAAAAAATCGATGTTTTTCTCATTACACAGGAGAAAAAACAAATTTTTTTAAATAACTTTTTTTCTTATCGTTTTTATTGAAAAATATATATTCAAAAAATACATCCCGAGGAGCTTACGTTTTAATGATAAGTACTGCTGGAGAGTTAAATTTTCCATCTCGAAACGGGGTTTTTGATTAATCGCAAAAAATATATTGAATATTTTCCGTTAGCTACAATAATGGTTACAAATTTTAATTTTAAAAAAATTGAAAAATTTTAATTCAAAAAAATAATAGACGACTGGACTTGTTGACTTATCATTTATAACATACATACTGTAGAAAATTATTACTCCTGATTGCGGATAATTTATTATTTTGTTTATTCTCAATGAATCAGCATTCTTCTTCGACAAACAAATTTTGTCAGCTTGTTCAAAAACATCGGTGTTTGGAAAAAGAACCGAAAATCGATTAATCTCCCGTTCAAAGCATCGAATGAAAAACGTCGATGTTTGGGCATGAAAAATCGATGTTTTCGATTAAGGTGAAACGGAACCCTTGTGTCTATATGAACTTTTCGAATTGTGATTTCTCCTGCGATTATTATTTTTCATTCATGAAACTACTTTATTGACCCACCGATGCAATGATCAAGTTCATAAAGTAATTGCATAGAAATAAAGTAGTGGAGGATGAGGTAAAATGGACACTTTGGACTTTTTAAAAATTACTCATAACTCAGAAACAAATTTATCAATTGAGCTCAGTTTAGGCTCATTACAAAAAGAAATAAATGTGCTTTGCATTGAAAAAAAATTCATTGAATTTCATCAACATTTCAAGCTGCCATTAACATTTAAAAAAAAGTCAAAAGTGTCCATTTTACCCCAATCTCCCCTAATAAGTGTAGGAGAAAAAACAATTCTAAAAATTCAAATAAACACAGGAATTCCGTTTCCCCTTAATGGACAAACATCGCCCATCCCTACTATCTATCCTCGAAACCTGAAATAATCCCACCTACCTATGAGCCGTCAGAGCTTCCTTATACGTTCCTTTGCTGAAATAAGCTGACCCCAGATTTCCATGAGCCCTGCACTCCCCCTGAGTGTCCCCCAACGACCTGGCGACCCCCAGATCCTGCTGCATGTAGCTGATAGCCTTGTCCAAGGAGTTGAGAGCCCAGTAGGCGCTCGATAACGCCGAGAATACCGACCCCCGGAGCTTTAAACTGCAGGTGCCGATGGCTAGAGCTGCTTCGAGCACTCCTGCAGCTGCTTTGTACTGTCCAGCCCCCAGTAGTTCCTGACCAACGACGGAGATCACCACGAATGGAGATTCGTCGAGTTTCATGGCTCGGAGCTGCTGGAAAGTAGGCTCCAGGGTTGGACGGAGTGGAGACTTCAGGGAGGCCTCCACGAGCCCGGAGAGCAGCTGGGAGTTCAGGGGATCTCGAGCTAATCCTGTTGCGAAGGCCACCAGGGCCTCTCCGTGACGTCCCAGGCACTGGAGGGCCACTCCCTGGCGGTAGTAGGCCTGGAAGAAGAGGGAAGATGTGGAGAGGGGGGCTGTCATGAGCTAAAAGGGGGTGAAAATGATCTTTAGTTGTGGAAGATGACGGCGGGGGTCGAGGTCAGTAGTGAAGCGATAGAGCAGGGGGTGAGTATTAACCCTAGACTGGTCACCATGCGAGGGAATTGCCGCAACACGTCGTTTTATTCACCTTGCCATCGACTGTTTGACCGGAAAAATTTGAGAAAAATCGAATTCGTCAATTGAAATATCTGGAAAATTCTAGTATTTTTTTTTTCAATATTGTATCCTTAATTCTGGGAGAAAACAAATTATTTCCAACAGGTGAACAATTTTTTCCCGTGTTAAATGACATTTCCTGTTGCGCGACGTTGCTGGGAACTCACTAAACGCGCCCGGGAAGTGTCGAGTGGATTCGGCAACGCTGGAGCCTAAATAACACGGCGGCACTCTCCCGCGGAGGTGACTAAAGTCGCATTTTTTCGTTAGGTGACCAGACTAGGGTTAAATTTTTGGGGCTTTAAAGGGTTAAATTTTTGGGACTTACTCGCCTTCGGCTCGTGCTATAAACCTCCCACGAGCGAAAAAACACTTTTCCCACGAGTATCGAACGATATTTTTCATCACGCTGTGACGAAAAGTGAACTTTT